TTGGAGGGAGAGAGATTCGGGTTTTTGGTGTTGGGGGGTTTTGTTTTTGTTTTTCTAACTAAACCTTCCCTGTACCCCCGTGATACACATTAGGAACTCTCCTGGTATTCTCACGTGCATTCTTATTTAATCCTCATAATAAGTCTATAAGATAAATTACAAGGTAAGTTTAACTCGCAAGAAGTATGTATTTTTGTGCCTGTGTTATGTAACTAAAGAACTACTTCTGACATCAGTGTGCTATTAATATATTACAGGCACAGACGTGTCACAACCCATGGTACCTGTGACTTGCATTATGTACACTTTGTGTGTCTGTAGTCCGTACAGAGGGTGGGTCAGAGTTGCTGCTTAAATACCCGCATTCTGAATAGAGAGCAACCTGAGGGTAACAACCTCTTCTCATTCGCAGGCCGGGGTCTGCCTGGGTGCAGCCGGAGCCCCACTCTGCCACTCTCCGTGTCTGGAGTGGGCTCAGGGGGAGGGCAGGGAGGACAGGGGATTCCAGCTCAGCCCGCATCTGCTCTGGAGGCTGCTCCTGTTTGGACCAGGGCACTGGTGAATTACAGAGCCCTGGGTCCTGTCCTGGGTCCTGTCCCAGGTCCATAAGCCGGGGCTTTCATTAACTCTGTACGTGGCTCTGATGCACACCAGGCTTGTCTGGGTCATCCCTGACCCCGGGGATCTCCCTCAAAATCAGATCTCCTCCAGGTACCCGCATCAATCAACTTCAACTCCTTCAGCCATTTCTTTTACCACTGCTTCCGCCGAGATCCTCTCTCGGCAACTGAGTCGTGTGTACAAGCCAAGTTGCTCTGGGGAGGATTCAGTTGAATCCTTCTGCGATGCCAGTTTAGGGTTCAACTTCGTCGGCTTGGACCCCTGGCCACACATCGGTCTACGTCCTGGCTTTTAGAACTTCCTTGCTGCTGTCTTCTCTTCTCTTTGTCCTTGTGGGATTCTGTCTTCGGTTTTAAAAATCTCTTCCCTCTCATTTTAGTATGGTTTCAAGAGGGAAATCTGTCCATCTCTTATCAGAAGCCTGTATCACTTAATTCTTAAGTCGAGCCTCATTTTTCAGATGGGGGAACATCGAAGCTCAAGAAGGCCAGCAAGTGTGCCTACTTTGCTAATAAATGATGCAGCTGAGATTCGCGCCCAGGCAGCTGGGTTCTTCGCCACTCTGCCCTAGCACCTCGCTCTAAAACCAGAAGCAAGGATTTCGTCTTCACGGAGAGAGTGTCTCCTAGCTTACAGGTGTGGAAAAGTATGCACACAGAGAGGCTCTCACTGGGAAATTGGCAAGCTGTATCAGATTCCATTAATCTAATGGCATTGTTGTATGACACATGAATTAGAAATTGCTGATGAATAATAGATTGTATCAACTGCTTCTCTGAACCAAAGGCCCTCCAGAAGAACTTTTTGCACATTCCATTTTAGGGCAACTAAAATGACATCATTTCCAGAACAGTTTGATTTGTTCTGCGAATCTGAAAAAAAATGACAACACAGGGACTTTCTTGGAATGGGAACATTTTCACACAATGGTCGTAAAACTCAAGAGAGGCTCATTGTAATCAAAATTGCACTTCCAGGGTTGCTACTTCCTGAACTAATCTGGAACTAACGTGTCTAAGCAACCTGCTTCCTGCTCACTGAGTCACGAGCCACCCGAAGTCAGGGCAGACGGGTTCTCTGCTGCAAGAGGAGGTGGTTCCATTTAGATTCGGGGCCCTATGCCGGCGGGCGCCCGTGCCGCGTGCCTTCTGCAGCGCTGTGAGAGCTCTCTGGGCCCACTCCCAGTTTGCCACGGGCTTTCAGGAGTGATGTGGCAGGCACCATCTCTACCATAGGTGTCTTTGGTGTCAGGCATCTTTCTGCGTATTACACAGATCATAGAAACCAAATCTCATTTCATTCTTCGTTGTATCTGAGGACCACGAGAAAGACTGTTCTTTAAGGCTGCGATTCTTTCTTCTAAGCTGCCTCCCTCAGACTCTGGACATCAGGAAGAGTTCAGGCACTTGTGTTTGCCTCCCAGGGACTTCAGGCTGACAGGGCGTCTGTGCCCTTGTAAAACTCTACACCACTCGTTTTGTGCCGACGCTCTTCACACACAGTCAGCGCGAGATCCTGGATATGTCTCGGTTATAAACTGACGGGCCTCACTTCTGTTTCCTCATCTGACAGATGGAGATATTGTTTACCTTGGGACACGTGTTTGCTGTGAAAATCAAGTGGGGGAAAAACTGAGGGGAATGGGATGGGGCGTCCAACCCTTTGACGTCTCTGGACCACCCTGGATGAAGAAGAGTTGCCTTGGGCCACACATTAAATACACAATCACTAGCGAAAACTAATGAGCCAAAAAAAGCTTTAAGTTTATGATCTAGTGTTGGGCCGCATTCATAGCCATCCTGTGCTGCCTGCAGCTCATGGGCCACGGGGTTCAGTATTGATCATCCAAAGTTATTCATTTAAAAGCAGCCCTAGCTGGTGTGGCTCAGTGGATTGAGTACCAGCCTGTGAACCAAAGGGTTGCTGGTTCGATTCCCAGTCAGGTCACATGCCTAGATTGCAGGCCAGGTCCCAGGTAGGGGGCACACAAGGGGCAACTACACATTGATGTTTCTCTCCCTCTCTTTCTCCCGTCCCCTCTCTCTGAAAATAAATAAATAAAATCTTTAAAAGCACCTTAGGATGGAGGGGCGGGAAATACCCTAGCAGTACACGAAGCTGGAAGTCAGGGACTAAATTGGAAGTCACAGCCCTTTGGCTGGAATGAGTGGAGAAACCATGGGCTGGCCACTTTTCTTCTTGGTTATTCCTGTGAGTGCTCACGTCATCTCCAAAATTTCTGATGTATGAAAACCTGGGGCTATGCTGAAAAAAAAAAAAATAGCGCAGAGACTGGACGGAGGAAACGTCTACATCCAGAATCAGTAGGCTGGGATGGCTTCCCCCCGCTTGACAGGAGCTTCTCTCAGGCTTTCTGATGGTTTGGGCCTTGGCCACCGCGTGAGAAGCTGCCCCCTAAACAGGCACCAGAGGAGGTAGTGACTTGTAAACCTGGGGCCCACCTTTCTCTGTAGGCTGACAGCCACAGCCGGGGGTGTAACTAGCAGGCACCAGAACGTAACTCAGTCTCCCGGAGCTGCTGTTTGCAGTCTGGAGACAGGTCCTTCCCACGAAGTTTTTAAACCAAGCGAAGGAGAGGCTCCTCTGTGGATGACGGCTCTCTGCATGTCTCTCCGTGCCCCGGTCTCTGGCGTGTGTCCGAGAGGGTTCCTCTGCAGCGTGTGTGAATCAGTGTCACAGTTCGGGGCTGAGAAGACAGCTCTCCAGAGAACCTCTGAAATCACCTTCAGGATTCCATTCCTGCCTTTACTTCATCATTTAAACCTGGAGACCTGCCAGTCCCTGACATTGTGGTAGGAATTCAGCAAATTTATCTTAGTTTCATATGTCAGGATTAATTTGTTTTCCCAAAGCCCCTTCCTCAATTTGCCAACATCTCCTCATTTCTCAGACCATTTTTCCTGTTTCTTATCCAGAAACATGCTTGAACTTGAGGGCAAGAACTTGAGGGCAAAGGGCAAATCTTCCAAATCTTATGTATTACGTACAATTTATATATAAACCATTACCTCTTAAAAGGGGATTTACCTGGGATGTTACTCTTACTGCTTACTTTATATGTTTTGATACTGAATTGTAGATACCATGTCTAATTTTTATTATCCATTAAAATTCAGAGGTTTTTTTTTTACCTTATAGTTACATAAGTGTCCAATGACTGCTAAACGTTAAAGGGTATCGTCTGTCATTTTAAACTATCTGGTCCTCCACGTGAATCTTATCTCTTTTAATTCATATGGCTTTATTTCTCCATGAACCTCAAAGAAAAAATGAAGTTTCCCAGGGGAAGGCTCACTGTTTGGATGTATCTCATAACTTTTGTACGAGCAAATGTACGTCTTCCCCCTAAATTCTCTATGAACACTCTCCAGTGCATAAGTCTCCTCTCTCAGACATGTAGTTTTGGTGGATTTTTTTTTTAAGCATGATTGGCTTTTCTCAGAAGGAAGACCCAGTGGGCCTGGGCGTCATCCTTCTGCGTCACCTGTAGCCGTCTGGCAGTGTGGACGAGCAGCCTACAGATGGGTAGGGGAGCTCGTGTGGACGCCTCCCCGTGGCCTGGGCAGGGCTGGGATCTGGGAGGCGCTTACTCAGGACTCGGGAGCAGAGCACATGGACCCCCTGGTTGACCCGAGGGCTGTGGTGGTTTGTCCTTCACAAAATCAAAGTTGTACTATATTTTAAGAACCTTAGAACTGAGTTTAAATGTCTGGTCTACTATTTGTTGCAACTTGCTCTATCAGAAAAAGCACTGACCCACACGTCCAAAGTCCTGGGCTCTAGTTGTGGCTTTGTAGCCGCTGACCACATGGGTGATCTTGTCCGACAAGTTTTCTCAAGAAATGAAAAGACCCCCTCGAGCTCTGTAAACTTGGGAACCTGCCCTGGTTGAGCGGCTGGGTCGGTTGGAGCATCATTCAGAACATCAGAAGGATGGGGGTTCGATTCCTGGTCAGGGCATATGTGGGGTTGAGGGGCTGACCCCTGCTCGGGGCATGTACAGGAGGGACAACCAGCTGATGTTTCTCTCTCACACTGATGTTTTTCTCCCTCTGTCTCTCCCTTCCTCTCTCTCTAAAATCAATAAACATGCCCTGGGGTGAGGATTGAAAAAAAAACAAACAACTTGGAAACCTCCCGGGTTCTGCGCTGTGCGGTGCGGTGCGGTGCAGTGTGTGCGGGGGAAGGACTTGCCCGCGAGGTTCCCGGGTACCGGTTCCAGGGTATCATCGGCAGGGCTGTGCTTTGCTCCTCATCTCTCACGTGGTACCTGGCGTGCGGCTCCTTCCTCCTAGAGAGGACTTCCCGGGAGGGACTGCGCCGGCCTCCCCATCAGCTCTGCGCTGTCTGCGTTTCAGATCCCCGGGGCAGATGAGCCCCACGACCCGGGCGGCTCCGAGGACGCCAAGGGAAACCTGGAGAGCCCCAAACAGGGCGGCGGGAAGATGAAGCTCAAGAGTCGTCTGTCCGGTAAGTGGGACTGTCCGCCTGACGCGATCTTTCTGAGAATAAGGTTCCAGCCTCGGGAGTGGGAGTACAAAACCGTGAGCAGGATGGCCTCCTTTTTCCCCTCAAAACCTCAGAGCTGTTTTTCCTTTAGATAGTGCATGTCTCAGGTGTAGAACGACATTGAGCCTGGCTTCCCCGGGTGGATATTTCGAGTCATAATGAAATGACTGTGGACATCTCCGTTCGTCTCTGCTTACATTTAAATTTCCCATGTGTTTCGTTTGTTTACCTCAGTGGGACCCTTTCAGTGTGGGATATTTCGGATGGCCTGTCTTCCCAGCAAACGTACCTCTCCCCCAAGCCCTTGGTCCACCAGAACGAGGGGCAAAGAGCTGTTTGTGAATTTCAAATCTGCATTTCAGTTCATGGAGGGGGGGCTGGGGGGGGACAAGGAATGGGATGGAGTGGCAGCTTTTGGAACAGACACAGATTTGATGTTTCCTGGGCACAGCCTTGCGGCGACTGGCCTGTGCCCCGAGAGAGGGGGTTAGTGTTGGAAGCAGAGGCTGTGTGCTGGGACCCAGGGGCTTCCGAGGATCCCAGGCACTTTTGCTTTGCCAGGTTCTTTCCTCTATCAAAAATATACTTGCCGTTGCCTGATGGGTCAGTTGGCTGGAGTGCTGTCCCATGCACCAAAACATCGTGGGTTCAACTCCCAGTCAGGACACATACCCTGACTGCAGGTTCGATCCCCACTTGGGGCATGTACAGGAGGCAACTGGTCAGTGTTTCTCTCTGTCTTCCTTCCTCTCTCTCTCTAAAGTCAATAAACATACCCTCGGGTAAGGATACAAAAAATACTAAAATTATGTTTCATGATTGCATTCGTATAAAGTTACAAGCTGGACTCGTTATTGGCTATTCATTGCTAATATGTTCTTTTTTTTCTGAATTTGAGAAATTAAAAAATGCTTGTGAGCTGCTAAAAGTGGTGTGGGCTCTCAGCACTGTGTCCGTGGCCTGATGCAGAAGTTGGCCCCGGCTGCCTGTCCGTGGGAGACTCAGCTGTAGCAGGGTTTGGGAGCTTGGCAGAACCAAGGTTACCCCTCAGCCCTTGTCTTACCTTATCACCTCGGGCCGACTGTTTACCATCCGTGAACTTCCATTCCCTCGAGTGGAAAAAGGAGGTGATAATGCTGACTTTGAAAGGTTGAGCAGATTCTTAAAAATAATAATAATCAACTTATATGAAAGCAGCTGGCAGAAAGCATGTATGTTAACATCCAAAAAAGGAAGTTTCCTCTTCCTGCTACTCACATCAGTGGCGAGAGGCAGAATCTATGCCTGCAACCAAGAACGTCCCCCAGCCACGCCCCCCACCACCCCGCCTGGCCCTGGACTGTTACTCTCAGGTGAGGTGGCAGGTCCAAGGCCATAAACTGTATCAGTTTCATTTCTTCAGTAACAAAATGGATTGCTTTGTGTTTGTAACTCAGGATAATTAGGTAGTACATATCCGAGCAAATGCTGGAAGGTGGGTTTGTGACAAGACAGCGTGATGACCGGAGGGTGGTTAAGGAGAGTTGGCATGAGGAGCAGCCGAGAGAAATACGAGGTCTCTGCAGAAGGTACCCAGCCGTGTAATGTGAAAAACAGAGACATGTACTGAAGAAGATACAAGATACAAGAAACACTGTACAGAGGACAGTGATGCCTCGGTCCCCTTCAAAGTAGGCACCTTGGGACCTCACACAGTTCTCCCAGTCGCCATCAGCTGCCCCATCATATTTTCCTGAATCTTATTAATGATCTGAATCTTTTCCCTTTCAAAGGTGATTTTAATTTTGGGGAAAGCCAGAAGTGGCAGGGCACCGAATCTGGGCTGGAGGTACACTGAGCTACATGGGTGATTTGATGTTTCACCAGAAACTCTGTATGAGACATGATGCATGAGTGGGCGCATTGTCATGATGAAGCTGCCAATCACAGCTGCCCATAGCCGCGGCCTTCTGAATCATCCGAATGGTTTCCACAGAGGAATGTTCAAGCTTCATGCAAAATTTGATGCAGATTCAATGATTTCTTTACTCAGTCATTTTGAATGTGACGGCCACACAGTACACATGCTCGTCAACGGTGTCCAGCACCCCCGCTGACTAGTCCAATGAAGTCGTCATTGTTCACACCTGTGCATTCCAGCCCACTCTTCTTGGCTGCCAGGTTACATCGATGTCACACAAGCTGTTTTTGTTGTGGTTACAGTGGCTGGACTTTTTCTGGACAGGCCTCGTGCATTTAAATCCTGCATCTATTTGGGACTGGAAGCCCAGAGGAGACCTTTGGGTCAGCTGCCTTGGCAGAGTTGATCGACACCTGATGAACGGTTCCCAGAGGAGGGCCACAGCGCTCTGGGGAAACGTGAGGGAGCTTTGGAACCAGAGCAGTCACGTTCCTCATTTTACGGACGAGACCCACGAAGTTAAGGGAATCCCAACGGTCACTCATCCAGTGCCACAAAAAGATCTGCCTCCCACACAGAGTTCTTCTTGCCCACCCCTTTACCTCCTGCGGATCTGGAAAGGAATCCTGTTCCCCCGCCTGGAGCTTCCTAGATGTAGATGTGGGGAGGGGACGTCAGGCTGACCTTCCAGACCCACGACTCCCTAACTCTGTTCATTCTGTTACTTTAGAATGAGCAGCACGCCCAGCTGAGTAGTAAACCCAGGGCTGGCTGCTGTTTGCCATGTATGGATGCCCCCTCCCTTCCTGCGTCCTTCCCAGACATCCAGGGCCGTACCGAGGAAGTGCGGGGGAAGCACTGCCCGGCTCCGTGTGACCTGGGACAAGTGACTCCACTCCTCTGGCTCTCTGTTTCTTCCTTCATCCTGGCCATCAGCGTGCGCGCCTTCTAAGTGCCAGGCCTCGTCGGCAGATGGAGTTGGACGCCCTGGCCGGCGTGGCTCCGTTGGGCAGAGCATCATCCTATCATCAAAAGGTTGCAGGCTTGATCCTGGCTGGGACACATGCCCTTCTGCAGTCACGGCAGTTGGCTCCAGCAGAGCTCGTCAGAGCGATTAGGAGAAAGGAGACGCTTGGGTGGGAGGTGCCGGTGCCTGCAGAGTTGCAGGTTTGCTTCCTGGCCTGGGTGTGGTCAGTCCCCAGTCCAGGTGTGTGTGGGAGGCAACCAGTTGGTGCTTCTGTCCCATGGGTGTCTCTCTCCCTTACCCCCTCTCTGAAGCCAATGAAAAAATGTCCTTGGGTGGGGATTGGAAAAAAACAAATAAACAAGAAGTTTAAAAAAAAAAAACAAACGTACAGGGTAAGGCCACTCCAAAGTGCGGTGGCGCTAGGCCCTCACCGTGCGGTAGCTGCCACTGTTCTCACCGTTGTTGTCATTAATGTCACATCATCACTGTCCTTGTCCTTGTTCTCCTCTTTCCCTCTCAGGAGGGGAAGGTGCTTCACTGGGTACGGGGACGAGTCTGGGTAAGAGCGAGAAGGCCATGAAAAGGCAGCTCAGAGCCCCAGGGACTTGGGGTCTCTCTGGGCTGTGGTGCCCGGGGGAGGCATTCCGGGGGCAACCAGTTTTCTTCCTCATCCATCTGCAAGACCCAGCAGTTCTACAGTCACAGCGACTGGCTCCAGCAGAGCTCGTCAGAGCGATTAGGGGAAAGGAGGCCCTTGGGTGGGAGGTGACGGGCCGGCAGAGTCGGGCGAACTGTCGGGTGATGTTTATGTGCTCCGCAGTTTTGGAAAGGATGCAAGTTTTGGACAAATCCTTGCCTTTGAGAATCAGCAGGCTAGTGCAATGGATTCATGTAGCCGGGTAGCGGGAGATAAGACTGGAAAAGCAATTTGGAGGCCCTCTTCAAGAGGCTTAAGGAATGGGGTCTGCAGTGAGCGCTGTGAAATATGCTCCCTCTACAGACCTTTGAATACAGAAGATGTTAATGCGATGAGCTAATTTGTCTGTCCTGCAAACTTGGACATTTATTTCGTATTTTCTTCAAGTGCGTCACCCTGGTATTCTCGTGTCAGCCTATGATCGACAGACGCTACCGTACGTGGTTTCTCTGCCGTCGGTGGCAAGTGCTTCCCGGTCAGCTGCAAAGGAATTTTCTTCTAATCAGTCTTTTTCAGATGAGTAAGCATGCCAAGATAGATTAATCTCGTCATGAATTATTGAGGAGGTTCTTCTGTAAAGAGGTTCCAGCCATTCCCACTATGATTTTTGCCCGGTCTGGCTCCAAAAAAATGACTAAAGCGATTTCATGGAACATTTTTTTTCCTGAAATTTTAACTGGAGGTTTCACCCTTCATGCCTCCTTTCTTGCCGGCAGGTTCCCTCTTAATTTTGGTGTTTCTGACTGATCCATGTTAACGCCTTAGGCTTATGATCTTTTTAAATGGAAGATTTTCTTTGACTGCAAAGGAATTTCAGGTGTTTGAAAACCCGTGTCACAAAGTTAATATTCAGCTTTTGAAAAACCAGGCCTTTGGTGATCTCCATTCTGAAGTAGCTGTCAGCCCTCGTCTAACTTTCCGTCACTGCTGGAAGTTCACCATCATTTGTAAAAGAGTACAGACTCACCTTGTTTCATCTCGTGAAAAACTTTTAGGTACATGAAGTTTGAAGTCATCAAATAAGACATTACACGGTCCAGGAGAACTTGATATTCCAACGGATCTATATGTGCGTATAGCTATGTTCACACACACGTATACACGTATGTACATACGCGTATAGTGCAGCAGTCTTCAACCAGTGCACAAGAATTTTTAAAACATTGGTCAGGGGCACTGCCCTCTCTTCGCTTGTCACATTTAAAAATGACAACAGCCAACACAACAATAGCCATCCGGTGTGAAGGAATCAAAAATCGTACCTATTTTTTGTCAGATCAGGAAAAAATACATTTTTGGGTGTGCTGCAGAATTTTAGTGATTAGCTCATGTGTGCCATGAGATGAAAAGGATTGAGAATGGCTGATACAGTGTATGATGTAAACAATGCAGTGTGATTATAGTTATTACATTCAGTGTAATTAAGATATCACTTAAGATTAATGTCCTTTAAATTATCTTGTTTTTAAATAGCATATAATATAAAGGAGGGCGTCTTTAAAAATCATTACTATAAAATTTCTTAAGCAGGACCGAAAAGTACTAACCAAAAAGGGAGGGAAATCTATATATTTTACTATGTTAAAAATATGAATTTTTGCTTATCAAAAAAAAACATCAAGAAAGTAAAGTGGCTGGACTGGACCATCACCCCACACAGACGTGCAGAGGACATTCACAATACACAGAGCCCACGATCTAGGCAGACATCCAAAGTATATTAACAAAATTCTGTAAACCAACAACAAAAGAGAATAAACCCAGTAAAAGAACAAGCAAGACTTGAACAGGCACTTTACAAAAGAAAAACAGGGTGGGGGGAAGTGGCGAAGAGAAAAGGGAGACAACTGTACTTGAACAACAATTTAAAAATGTGACAAAAATAAAAATATTCAAAAATAGCACTCCCCCCAAAAAAAGAAAAGCAGCCAATGAATATTTTAGAAGAAGCTCAGTCACGATTAATCATCAGTGAAATGTAAATGAAAACCATGATGAAATGCCGCTTTATAGCCAACAGAATGGCTAAAGTTAAAAAGACAGACACCCCCACGTGTGACGCCGACGTGGAGGAACCGGAACTCCCGCACACTGGTGATGTGACATTGGTCACGGTGCGTGTGCACCTGTAGCCCAGCAGCTGCGCTCCCAGAGCTACATCCAGCAGACGTGACGTGCACGAGGAGGCTCAGTAACAGCACACTCTAGATCAGGGTCAGCAGACTGCCGCCAGTGGCTGTGTCTGTATGACCCATGAGCTAGAAATGCTCTCTACAGTTTTAGTGGGTTGTAAAAACTTTTTGTAAAGAATATGCAACCAGCCCTGGCTGGCATAGCTCAGTGGATTGAGCGCGGGCTGCGAACCAAAGTATCGCAGGTTCGAGTCCCAGTCAGGGTACATGCCTGGGTTGCAGGCCGTGACCCCCCAGCAACCGCACATTGATGTTTCTCTCTCTCTCTCTCTCTTCCTCTCTCCCTTCCCTCTCTAAAAAATAAATAAATAAAATATTTTTTTAAAAAAAGAATATGCAACCAAGACCATTTGTGGCCCATAAAGCCTAAAACATTGACTATCTTGCCTTTACAAAATAGAAGAAAAAAAGCGTTCTGACGCTTGTTCTAGACCTAAAACTGGAAATAAACCAGATGTCCATCAGCAAAAGAACGGATGTTTATTCCATGAAACAGTACACAGAAATGGTGTGTTTATACAATAAAATAGTACAAAGAGATGGGATGAACAATCTGTTGGCATGCAACAACCTGGTAGAGTTTCACAAACAAACGCTAAGAATGAGGAGCCAGCCCTGGCCCCTGTGGCTCGATTGGAATATCATCCCGTACACCAAAGGGTTGGGGGTTCAATTCCCAGTCAAGGCACATACCTAGATTGTGGGTTTGGTTCCTGGTCCGGGCGTGTATGAGAGGCAGCCAGTCAATGTTCTGTCTTTCTCTCTCCCTTCCTCTCTCTCTAAAATCAATAAACATATATTTTTAAATGTTTAAAAAAGAACGAGGAGCGAGACACACACAGTAAGTACACATTGCACACGCTCGTTTACGTAAAGGCTGAAAAGAGGCGAAAGTAACCTGTGACGTTAGAGACTGGGATAACGGTTACCCCGTGGGTGAGAGGTGGTGAGGAGCACAAAACGGGCTCTCGGGATCTGGCAAGATTCTGTTTCTTGGTTTGGGTGTCAGTTATTGGTACCTCCACTTGAAAATTTCGTGACACTGTACACTGATTATTCGTGCACATTTCTGTGCGTTTTAAGTTTATTTTAAAAGTCATTGCACTTGAAACAAAGCCCATGTGCCCCAGCGACGGCACTGTACTGACCACAGAGTGATGTTCCTCCATCACCAGAAAACAGCCTCCCGAGAGTGTCCTCACTGTTGTTTATTGCCCTGTCAGCCACGGCTACATCTTCCTTGGGTGAAATACGAGGGGGGACCCAAAGGAACATGGGATTTATTTGTTTGTTTGTTTGTTTGTTTGTTTCTGTTTTAAACTAGAGTTACCTCTTTTTTTAAGATTTTACTTATTTATTTTTTAGAGAGGGGAAGGGAGAGAGGAAGAGAGAAACATCAATGTGTGGTTGCTTCTTAGCGTGGCCCCCACTGTGGACCTGGCCTGCAACCCAGGCATGTGCCCCGACTGGGAATCGAACCTGCTACCCTTTGGTTCGCAGCCCGCGGTCAATCCACTGAGCTATGCCAGCCAGGGCTGGAACATGGAATTTATTTATTAAAAATTGTATATTTATTCTTACATGTTTAAACTTTAGTCACCTTCAAAGTACTCTCCTTTTGATGCAATACACCTATTGAGACTTTTTTCCACTGCTCAAAACAGTTTTGAACTCATCAATTTTGATGCCTTTTAGTGCTTCTACCATTTTTTGTTTCACGTCTTCCACATGGGCAAACTGACTTTTTTCATCTGGGGAAACCAAAAAGAGTCGCTTGGGTGACTAGGGAGGGTGGGGCATGGGGGTCATGCTGTTTTTGGTCAAAAACTGCTGAACACTCAGCACTGTGTGGGCAGGTGTGCTCCTAAGTCACCCATCATGAAATGGGCGAATGCATTGAAAGAGCCTTTTTAAAAAATTCACTGAAACGAAATGCAGCCTCTCACAACAACACTAGCTGGCACACTGCTACAACTGGGTTCCTAGAACACTCACATAGTGGAGGGAAGCCTGTACTACAAGAGGCCCTCCCTCCAGAAGATAATTCTGTTTTTTGTGGGGAGTCCCCCTCATATGTACATTGCCTTATCTGTCCCTCAAAAACTGGCACTTTCTTCATAACCTGGTATTACTGCTTCAACACATGCTGATCTTATGCAGAGCTTCATGGTTGAACATGGTGAGTTCGGTGCTTCGAAAGATTCGAACACCAGACATTTTGAAAACCATGAATATGGGTATAAATACAGCAGGTTTATGCCTATGTATGCCCTTAAGCTTTTTTTTTTTTGTCCCATATCAAGCCACATCATTTCCCCTGTATTTTCAAGGGGGTGTACACCGTCTAGAATCTGTTGAAGAATATAACGAGCTGATGGTCCAAAATGGGGACCCCCGGATCAGGATGTTGGAGGTGTCCCGAGATGGCCGGAAGCACTCTCTCCCGCAGCTGCTGGAATCTTCGAGCACAGCACAGGTAGGCAGCGCCGTGGAGCCGCTTGCTTTCTCGTGCAGTCACCGCTGACCAGTCAGGGATGAAAGAGCATGCTTCCACCCCGGGGTCTCTAGGCTTCCCGTAGTTCTTCCAAAGACCAGCGAGAGCTTCTGTGTCCTGAACAACTGCCCATCTGTGTGGGCCAGGAGCATTTGGGACTAGAGCTGGCATACCAAGAGTGAGTAAGGTCTATCCCGGGAGGCAAGAAGGAAGTCGGCCCAATATCTGAAAACAGTAGAGAAGAAGAATCCCCTGTCGGATCTTGACACCTTGATCCCTCCTCTAGCGTCCTTTGGCACCGAGAGCTGCCTTCAGCGGCTGGGAGACAGTGGCGCCCTTCGGTCTGGGGTGAATCACCATGACTGGTTTAGTGGGCACGTCAGGTGTCAGCCTGACAACCGGGTGGGTGGATGTTGGGTTGTGTGAGAGAAGGAAGGGAGTGTGTGTGGCATGTGACACAGGAACGACTCCAGCAGCCAGGGTCAGCGGGGGCTGCCCAGAGGGGTGAAGTGGGAGGTGATGTTGCTATTCCAGGGCCTGTCGCCATAAGTGTTCGGAGCTCCATAACCCCGAATGGGGATACCTCTTCAATTACATCATCCTCAGCCCAGTTGAAATGGAGTTAATGTCTCCTAACCACCCCTGGAGGCAGGCCCAGTCTCTGGGGAACTTGAGGAGGATTCTCTGAGTCCTGGCCCATTAGCCAGACGGCTAAGAGCAACCCCTGGCTCCTTGCCCCAGGCCTGTGATGAAGCAGAGGCGAAGGAGAAGAGGGGGAGGCTGTAATGACACCCGAAAATGCTTGGAGACACAGAGATCATAGAGCGCAAAAGGACCAGGTTAGGACACCGGGGTCGGGCCCTTACTTTAAATACGGGGTCACCATTTTACAGATAGGACAATGGAATCTCAGCGAGGTGGGGTATTTGCTCAGAGGGCCACGCCAGAATCACAGTGAGGGAAGCTTCACGTGAGAAGCGCCAGCAGTTCCACAGCCATTGCTAGTCAGGCTGTGTGGTGTCCGACCCGCCCAGAGGCAACTTGAGTTGCCTGATGGGGGCATCAAGAGAAAAGAGAGCAAGAACACGCGCTTGGGACCTGGTGAAAGTGACTCCAGACTGCAGACAAGTCTGCGACCTGCAAAGGATGATGCAGGTGGACCGAGCACATGAGGAGATCAGAAAGCAAGAAGAGCCACGCTGTCGGGCTGCGGTGGTCAGTGCGGGACGGGAGGGGCTCGGCTGCCGTTGCGGCCGAGGATGTCCAGCAGTGAGGGGGCGACCTGCTGAGGGGACCCGGCCGTATCTGTAGCCTGTAAATACCTATTTCCAACCAGGCTTCCGGAAACTAGAGGGCACAGGCTAGTAAATATTTTACAGGAAAGACTTTTTTTTCCTCATTCAATTGTCCTTTGTTTTGTCTTCTCCTTATTTTCTGCCCTTTTCTTTTTCTTCCAGGATTCTTTCTTTCTTCTTGTTCTCTCTTCGTCCACTAAAAAGTACTATCTAGAATAGAGCTGTCTATACTGGCCAGTGTGACTCAGTGGGTTGGGCATCGCCTTGTAACTGAGAGGTCACAGGTTTGATTCCCCGTCGGGGCATCTGCCTGGGTTGCAGGTGCAATCCCTGGGCAGGGCGCGTGCAGGAGGCAGCCAATCAGGGTTTCTCTCTCACATCGATGTTTCTGTCCCCCTCTCCCTCCCTCCCTTCCCCTCTCTCTAAAATCAATAGCCATCTCATCAATGTCCTTGGATGAGGATAAACATACAAATAAAAGAGAATAGAATAGAGCTATCCATTAAAACTTTCTGCAGTGACAGAAATGCCTTATATTTGTACTGCCCAACATGGCAGCCACATGTGTCTCTTGAAAAGTGGCTAGTGAGACTGAGGACTGTGCTTTTAATTGTAACTTAACTGTAGACAGCCGCAAGATGGCTAGTGGCTGCCATCTGGGACAGCCCAGGTCTAGAAAGCTCCGTGGGACCCCTGAAGCTATTAGAGAGAACAGTGAAGCAGACAGGCCTGCCAGTCCCGGAGGGGAGACGGGGTGGAATGATGCTGAAGATTGGTGGGCAGAGAAAGTTCCCTTTCGAGTCGACACGGGGCCTCTCTGTCCCAGGACCACGAACCCGTGGGCTCCGTCTGGCCATTTCTGTGGGGGTTTCGGAGAAAGGGCAGTGACTCTGCCGAGCCAGCATCTTTTTTATTTATTTTTTTTTTATTGAATCAGGGCCTGGGAGACCCACATAGCTGGCAGGTGTTTTGTGAAACTACAAAATATAATTGTGCTAAGCTGCCAGGAAAACAAAAATATCATTAGCCGACATCTCGTTTCTACCTTTGAAAGTAGAACACACCCATTAAGCATAAAAACTATTTCTGATGTCTCTTTTCTCATATGAAAATATGAGAAAATAGGACTAAATATGAAGTGATTTTTTTTGCAAATGCTGGAAAATCTAGCATTTAGGAAATTTATTCTAAGAAGAATAGCACGGAGCTAGACTGTAGGAATGCTTTAGCAATAGACTCATGTAATCTCTTACATTATAAATAGTGGGCCCTGCTTACAAGTGTATATATTGGAGTGCCGCACAGAAAAAGGAGATCAAGATTCGCACTGCTGTGGGCCAGGAAGGGAAGGTGTGGCTGAAAGGAAAATGTTTTATCGTCCGAGTGCGAGGGACTAGAACGGGAGCTGCTGGGATGTTTCATACAGAATAACAATTGTATCTGCATTTGCAGCTTGGGTTTTACAAGAAACAAGGGCTTAAGTCTTTGAGCGAGTGAATTAAGGTTAGAACAGCAAACGCTTTCCACCCACAACTGGGAACTTGGGGTGGGGGCAGAGGGTGACTCCCGAGGGAGACCCTGGCCCCAGGGCGGTCACCCGCAGTTTCTGAGACGTCTTGGTTTCTGACCCCTGACTGCTCACTCCATTCCAGAGAGCAGCAAGCAGGACCATGGAGAGCAGTTGAGGAAAGAAATACCAGGCATCTGTGGCCTCCGATCCGTTCTCTCTGTGGAGGAGGAAGGTGTGGCAATTTATTGCAGAAAGTGCTATTCCTCCCACGTTATTTATAATAAATGTTCTTTAAGCTGCTGGGCCGGGGAGAAATGGCGATCTAACCCAAAAGACGATCGAGGCTTTTGAAGTCTGAATCTGTTTTCACACCGGAGGCCCCTGGAAGCATACTAGAGACCCTCGCTGACCTTGCCGTCTGCTGACTTGCAGGACTACCACATCGTGAAGAAGTCCACCCGCTCCCTGAGCACCACGCAGGTGGAGTCGCCCTGGAGGCTCATCCGGCCGTCGGTCATCTCCATCATCGGGCTGTACAAGGAGAAGGGCAAGGTGAGCTCCCTCTGCCCGCTGTTCTGCACCAGGTTCACATACATTTTTTTCAATGGTTGCTTTTTATTGTTGTTTTAATATAAAATAAAAAGTAAAACTTTTTTAAAACGTTTAAAGAGGAATTGACGATGTGTGGCCTTACTGTGGATATTGAGTGGATCCAGGGCACCCTTTCCTAGGGGCCTCTGAGTGTCACGGTCACACCCGCCTGTCCTTACGATTTAAGGGGTCTCCAGCTCCGGGCTGCTAGGACAGGATCACGTGTGAGCTGAGTGCCCCAACTTGTACCGGAAGTGAGAGAAAAGGGGACCCCGCGGCTTCAGGGGATACTCCCAGTTAACCTTCCGGAGGAGTCTCATGATTCCGGTATTATCATACAGAGGAGAACACATGTAGCAGGATCCTTACACCAGTCTCAGAATATTCATTAGCTGTTGCACAAAATGGAAAGACGGAAACAAAAGAATAAAACAAATACGGCACCTGAAGAGCATGCAATGACTCTCGTGAGCTGTTTGGTTGATCCATGTGAAATTGCCATTTTTGAAGAGTGAAGGTTGTCGAATACTGACAATTTTATATGCTTCAACCGAAACACCTAAAATGTTCTCCCTTTCATGTGACGCATGGCCAGCACCATGCAAGTAGTTATTGCGAGGCGGGGCGGGGGTGGGGGTGGGGGTGGAGGGCGCGGCAGGGCAGTGAGGGGAGGAGAAGGGATCGCAAGCTTGAGTGGACAGCTAGTTAGCTTGACCACGAGCATGACGGGGGCGGACGCCGCAGTTCAGTGCCGTGCCGGGAGGGACGCCCTCGGCGACATGCCAGCGTGGGAAGAGGTGCCCCCGATGACCCTCCGTCTGCTTGGGGTGCAGGGCCTGGGCTTCAGCATCGCTGGTGGTCGAGACTGCATTCGAGGACAGATGGGGATTTTCGTCAAGACCATTTTCCCGAACGGATCGGCTGCGGAGGACGGGAGACTCAAGGAAGGTAGGTCCTCGGTGGGGGCCAGCCGGGACTCCACGGAACCGGCCCCTGTGCAGGGTGTGGCGCAGAGGTGCAGCAGTCAAGGCCGAGGGCCTGGGAGGTGGGCAGACCTGGGCTGAACCCAGCATTGACCACGTCCCGACCTTGGACAGTGTGACCTGAGCTTCCCTTTCCTCCACTGTAAACGTGGGCACTGATGACACCCCTGAGGAGTGGTGGTGAGGATTAAATGGGCTAACCTGCGAAAAATGGCTCTCTGCCTTTCACTTGGGCCTTTCAGTGCCTGCCTCCCTCCCTCCCTCGCTCCTTAATCGGGTTCCTTGCCTGGAAAATTCCTGAGAATTCCTCGTCCGCCCTTGCCTCGGGGCTGGGTACATGAACTTCTTTTACATTCTCCCCAGCACCTACCGTTTTGCCGTGCATCGACACCCGAAACAAGTGCCCCCACCCTCACCCTGCCCCTGCGTTATGGTGATGTGATTGGTAGATAGCATGATGTAAGTTTAAGGTGTACAATGGGATGATTGGATACACTTACGGATTGTGAAATGATTACTACGATTAGGTTAGTCTACACCTCCCTCACCTCGCATCACCTGTTTGTGTGTGTGTGTGTGTGTGTGTGTGTGTGTGTGTGTGTGTGGAGAACATTTAAGATCCACTCTGTCAACAGTTTTCAAGAATATAAGTAGCGCTGTTCACTGTAGCCACCGTGCAGATCCCCAGAACTTACTCATGAATTCAGATGTTTTCCTTTTCATGATATGCTCCCTTCATGAAATGACTCAGTCACGGTGTTGCCAGTTGCCAGAGACGCTGTGAGTCTTCACTGCAGTCGGCCCAGAGCAGAGCTGCTGCTCAGTTCAGCCGGTTTGGTTTGTTTTGTCACCGATGGGGTGGATGGGAGCCCCTTTTCCAGGCAGAATGGCCCGGGAGGCCTGTCTGCTAATGCTGATTCGTGACCAGGCTTCGCACATTGACGGCAGAACATGTATTTCTCTCCGTCAGAGGAAGGGGCGGCTCCCAGGTGGTGCTTGTGTCTGCGGACAGAACAAGGTACACTTCTCGCAGCAGAGCGTGTTCATGACGGACGCCCCTCGTGTCCGCGTGGTTGGAGTTCATCCCGCACTGCGGGTGCCATGGAGCAGGACGGAGAGGGATCAGTAGTTGGGGAAGGCCAACAGCACTCGATGCTTCCTAAAACTTTTTTTCATCTGTGTTCATTTACAATAAAAACAAGACCTTAAAACAGATTGTCAACCTGTTGAATGGTCTTTTTAGAATCTTGCATAAAGATTTCCTTCAGAGCATAAGCAATCCTTTGAATGCTTCCATGCTTTTCCCATGTGGAAAGAAACCCCAAACCTCACCTAGCTGAGTAATCAGTTACACCAGGTGGTTCTTAAACAGAATCTTTCACGTCTTTTACAACTTCTGTAACTGCGTAGAAGAGAAGGCACAGAACAAAGTCACGGGGAGCTGCTACGTTCTTAAACCCCGGCACAGAACTCCATGCACCGCAGGCGCAGTGTGCTCCTGGGGTGGGCCCTGCCCTGGAGGGGGTGGGAGCCCTCTTCTGCCGTGCGCTCCGTTACAGGGCAGCGAGGCCCTCTTCTGTCCCGCGCCGCTGTGCAGGGCCCGTCTGTCCTTCTCTCCGGGGCCCCTCGGTAGTGTGTCTGATGGACTGTTATTTTAAAAAACAGGCCGTGTTATAAGAGTACAAACTAGAAACAAACTCTGGTAAGTCAACAGGATGTCCAAGTTCTTCCCTATTCCCAGCAGACACTATCAGCAACTTGAAAAACGACCCAACTGTACCTTCTCGGGGTTGAAGATGAGTCCAGATGGGGGCGTGGGGGGGGGCGGAGAAGAGAGGGGTATGTGTGCACGCTGACATGAGCCTACAGTGATTTCTTACACGGAAGCATATAACTTGCCAGCTCGGTGACCGAGAACCTGGAACAGCCCCAGTAAGACCAGGCATCTAGACTGTCTCTAGAGGTGGGGCTGCCATTCCTAAATGATACCTCACAAGTGTTTTCGTCTCTAGCATGGACACCAGTTTCCCTGCCCTGTGATGCCTCCCTGGGCTCACGGAGCTCGTCTCTCTGTGAAGGCACGAGTGGCTTCTCGCATGTTGTGTTTATGCTCCATTGCCAGTGGGTTGAATTTTTAAACAAAGACCATAAGGAAAGACTCAGGACTCCGTTTTTTGCAGTTTGATCTCTAAACGTAGGACATCTGTTATTAAACTTGGCAATGGCTAAAGAATAAGAACCATGATGCTTCCCATTGTTGCTTTAATTAAAGATGGAAATACAGCTGACGGCCAAAGAGTATACATTGTCATTAGTTGTCCCTTTCTGTGACATTCCAGGGAGCTCCACTAAGGAAGGTGGATTGGAACAAGAAAACTCGTTTTATAGAGCTGTAAATCAGGGACCACGTGGTGTCCTATTCTCGTACTGACTGAGCAGCTCGATTCCCGTAAATTAAAGCTTGACGTTAATGTAATTCTCCTGTTTGCTCACTAGGGGATGAAATCCTAGATGTAAATGGAATACCAATAAAGGGCTTGACGTTTCAAGAAGCCATCCATACCTTCAAGGTAAAGACATCCTCATTGATCTTTATCTTCTTACGTTTTTCTTCATTTCCTCCTGGTTTGGGTTTTGTTTTTTGGTTTGGGGGTTTTTCCCACCCTTTGACATGGGGTAAGTGTGAATGTTTTCGCCCTACTTTCTTTTTGCTTCCTCAGCAAATCCGGAGTGGATTATTTGTGTTAACGGTACGCACAAAATTGCTGAGTCCAAGCCTCACGCCCTGCTCAACACCCACACACATGAGCAGATCCAGCTCCCCAAACTTCAACGCCAGCGGGGGAACCTCCTCAGCAGTGGGCTCCGATGAAAGCAGCCCCTCCTCCCTGGGTCGGAAGGCCCCGGGGCCCAAGGACAGAATCGTCATGGAAGTGACGCTCAACAAAGGTGATGCCTCCTCACTGTCGCTGCACGCTCTCAAATGACGATGACGCGTGCTTTGTTCTTAGGTTAACTTCCCCTGTTTTTTTTTTCTGTGACCTGTTCCTTTGGAGCACTTTGCTGCCAACAACATAGGGTATTCTCTAAATGGACAGTGGGTCCAAATTGGAGATTTTAGTCATTTTACTGAAGGGGGCGGAAGTTACCAGTCGCCCACAGGCTCCCCTGATGAATGACTGTGTGTTAGAGACTCGTGTTTGAAGAAACCACTCACCAGCGTAACTGGCTTAATAGAAAATTTTAAAGAGCAAAAGATTATAGTTAAAAATACAGTTAATACCAGTAACTGAGTCATGAGTGATCACCAAATCTTACTGCTTTTCATCTTTGTTGTCTTTCCCTGCCCTCCTACTGTGGAGATATGAGGCGCAATTTAAAAATCAAGAGATTAGGCACTAAAGCAAGAAGTGAAACAAAACCTAACGTTGTGTGTTCAGAATAAAATATATTATTACTGCAACTCTGCCTGTTTCCAAAAAGCAGATTCGAGGGGCTCTTCAGACTAAGCAGAGTAGACCATTGACTAGGTCATGGTCCAGACTTAGCCGTGGTTCTGCCGTGGACCCGTCTCGTCAACGGAACACGGCAGTGTGCACGAAGAAAAGCAGGACTGACATTCCGAGTCCGGTCAAAAACCAAGTGGCTGTTGGTCTGAATGTACACTGAGGCAGTTGCAAATCACTCACGCTTCTTTCTCGGTGGTGTTTGTTTTCTCGGAACGCTGCCCTCGCAGAGCCCAGAGTCGGATTAGGCATCGGTGCCTGCTGCCTGGCTCTGGAGAACAGCCCCCCAGGCATCTACATCCACAGCCTCGCCCCCGGCTCCGTGGCCAAGATGGAGAGCAACCTGAGGTTCGTTGTCCACCTGACCGGGCAGGGTTCCGGCACGTTTGGGAGTATCCGAACACATGCATGTGTAAGGTGCCTGCCCGGTTACATGCCTTTGTGGGATCCTCGATCTTTCTATCATTTGCAGAAATATAGCCAGGGTTATAATTAATAGCATCTCCAAAGATGACGCGTGAATCTAAATGAAACTCAGTTGAATCTGAGAACTCTGGATCCTGGCTTTGCCTATTTTATTCTATTTGGACCCAGAAGTTCAGTTTCAGAAATGACCAAATACAGCTCTGCACAGGTTACTAGGATTACCTGAGTGTTTTCTTTATGTCCAGTTACATAAAATTGATCTGAGATGCTGGGAACGGCTCACAGTGGCTCAGGATCCCTGGATACACATGATTGGAGAGTCCTCAAATCAGGCCCTTGAATGGGAGGCCTTTTTTGTTAAGTATAATCCCTTGAACCTTTTCTGCGGTTTCATTCCTTTCTGGGTGGGGACGGTGAGGTCTGGATGCCTACCGTCAGCAGTCACGGCGTGTCCGATTTCTCAGTGCAGCTAGCCGGGCCGTTGGGCGGGTATTCTGTTTACACAAGACATGCCTAGGTGTTCTGTCGTCCGGCGGCGGCGATGGGCCCGTGCCCACCCAAACTTCACGGGAATGTACACGTGTTGCACAAAGCACGCTGTGCAAACAGTATCACCTTTCTCCTCCATAAGCTTCTAAGTCCTTGAGCTTTGGAGGAATTGTCAAAATGACATTCCTTGAGGTTGCCATCTTGGGGCCCTGTGAATAGATTAGATTATGTTTTTAGTTAATCATCAGAGTGAATTTCCATACAAAAAAAAACCTAGCAAATCATCCAAAGTACATTAAAGAAAATATACTTTGAGAACCCAAGGAAAAAAATGCTTTAATGACATCCCAAGATGATGTTTCTCCCTTGAATGGTTCCATGTGTCTGCAGCCTGCCAAATGAACATTCTTCAAGCCCCATATAAAGGGGCTTTGTTCTCTCGGGCTGAGCTCTCTCCCTGTAATTTCCAGTCAAAAATGGGCATCTTGTCCTCAATTTCTCATTTGTTCAAATTTGAAACGTTTTTACAAATTCTTGGGTAACCTTTGAGCTTCAGATATTTCCTCCTTAAATTATATTACAATAATCATTTCAAGATGGTAGGAAGAAAGAAACCGATGGTGGTCTGGTGGTCGAAGGGCTATCACGTGATGATCAAGAGGTAGACAGACCTGAGTTCACCAGAGTGTGACATCTGGATGACATCTGTGAGAGCCTGTGGCCTTCTCTCCATGATGGGAATGATAATACCTCTTCAGGCATCATTGTGTGAATCGCTCCACAGAGTGCCTGGCATGCACTATGGGCTCAAGAAAGGGCAGCCTGCATTGTTGTCCTTCTTGTCCATTTTATTGAACTTGACTGCTTCTGAAAGTGTGGGCAGATACACGTAAGGGCCTTTGCCAGTCTCACATCTAATGTGTTTCTACGGATGTGTTGTTCTTTTACACGCATGCCAAGATAAAAAGGATGTCATTTGCTTCTTTAAAGTGTGCAGAAAAGATCCCTTGTTATAAACCTCTCCCCGAAGGAAACCTTGTAAACAGCTAACTCGTTAGCACAGCGTTGATTGTGTTGCCTCCCCAGCCGCGGAGATCAAATCCTCGAAGTGAACTCCGTCAACGTCCGCCATGCCGCTTTAAGCAAAGTCCACGCCATCTTGAGCAAGTGCCCCCCAGGACCCGTTCGCCTCGTCATCGGCCGGCACCCCAATCCAAAGGTGACGCATTTCACGCTGTTTCTGGGCATGGGACACGGCTTGGCCATCTGTCCAGGAGCAGTGACTCACATGTCACAGGGTCCACACCCACGCTCCGAGGAGACACTTCACTCAGCTGGGGGTGGGAGTCAGCCTGAGGCCACACCGTGGCCATGGTGACAGATACACGAGGGGTAGGAATCACCCACCTGGACTTCTTCGTCCTCGCGTTCTTCGAAAATATTAGACAGTTTTGACAGTGTCATTGGTGAATTTAAAGTTGGGTAGAAGGCAGGAGAGCTGGGTTCTGATTACCCCCAGCAGGCCATGGGATCTCGGGTTCCGCAGCAGAGATGGCAGGTGTTTCTGCAGCAGGACTGTCGGAGAGCGTGCGACAACACGGTTTGTCCAGGCCGTTCCTGGCCTGAGCAGAACACTCCTGCAGTTAGGCTTCCGAGCCCACTAATTTTTTATTTTTTGAGCATTGATATCACATATGGAACTTGCAGGTTATCGTGGCCCCTGCTGCTATTTGGTTATCTCTTCTACACCCGTGCAGTTGCTTTTAATTTTTTAAGCTAACCACAAGACACCTCTGCAAATGCAACTCAACTGTTCACTTTTTTTAAAAAACTCTCTCTGAACGCTAATTTTTTAAGAAATACGAACGTTTCACAGGTTTGCATGTCACCCTTGTGCGGGAGCCATGCTGATCTTCTCTGCATCGCCCCAGTTTCCGTGCACGTGCTGCTGAAGTGCACACTGTGTGGCATTGAGTGCTCGGGGTAAACATCTTTTAAAACTAGCTGGTCTCTAACATTGTAATCGGGTTGAACTTGACACAGTTTAATCTTTTCCTTTTAACAACTCAAAATGCTCATTGAGAACATTAGTTCTCTCCATGCCTGTCCTATGGCCACTCTTGTATTATCTGTAGTTGTATTTGATGATACCCTCAATGGTCCCAGGCTGCTGAGTCCTGCTTCCACTTTTTCCCAGTTTTTCTGCCTGTCACATCCCCCTCTTCTCCACCCTGTTCTGCGGTCCTGACACTGTCCCTTAGAATCTGCTGCTCTTTGTCTCCTGCTTTCCCCAAGACTCTCTCTGGGTCTCTTTTAACACTGTTTTGCTCATTGTGACAGTTAGAACAGCCTCGGCTCCTTCCTCCAGGGCCCTTTCTTGGATTCCACCAGCCACACAGCCGTGCCTCCTGTCACCTTAGGAAACACCTCACTAAGTTGTGGCTGACCGAGCACATCCCATGGCAGCATTATAGAAAGTCAAGTTCTCAGTGGTTTGCAGTCGAACAGCTTGAAGGCATGTCTGGCTTCACAATCCATTGCACCATCACACAGGCCATGATTTGTTCAGAGTTCACTTCATCTCAGCCCAGAAGCATCTGCCTAACTTGCTAATACAGTCCAAAACACACGGCATTTCAGTGCATGGCAAAACCCCGGTGGGCTCCGGCCTGTGGGCCGCTGAACATTCAGGCTGATTCATGTTTGTAGCCGCAGCGAAACGGTCTCTGAGATGGCGCTGGGGATCGCGTCCAGCAAAACCAAATTCCCGTAATTGTTTGGCTGGACTTCACGTTTCTCCCTAGGTAAACATGGCGTTCTTAGCTGTAACATCATACTGTATTTTTCTTGGGGTTAAGATTTCATTTTATGTTTAATGTATTTTTGTACCACTTATCCCAGCATCTCATGCCAGTAGTACATTTTGATACTGAATGTACGTGCTTCCTCGTTTTCATGTTGTTCCAAGAGAAATACCACAAGGATTTTCTTTTCTTCTGTTTCTCATAACGACGGGAGCAGCACTGCCCGCTCGGGATATTCAAGCCCTCCAGGTCTAGACAAGCCGCAGTGTGGGCCTGCTCGGGTAGCAGCGTCTCACTTATGTTAAGTAGAGAAAGGAATAGAGATCCATTTTAATTGGTGCCGGGGCTTTCAGCACAATTAGAATTATCCAGAAATCGTTCACTTGTTTCAAACCCTAACTCCAAAAAGCAATTGCAAATATGGAAAGTCTAATATCAACAAAAAGTTGCAACCACTGTTTTAGCTGATATTCTCCCTGGCTCATTTATACAAAATTACCCTGGGCTTTGTGAAGGGGGAAAAGGGTGTGTATGTAAGTGTACAGGCCTGTGTGCATGTGTGTGTACACTTTATTTCCTGTAAAACCTACTAGAAAGTATCCCATAAAGGCCATGGTGTGATTGTGATTACATGTAATACTGAATCCTGTCGAGAAATATTTATTTACTTAAGGCAAATTACTTTGCTTATCCAAATATTATTTATACTAAATGGTATGTTAGCATAAAAAATTATCATTCTACGTTTTAAGTATTCTTCTCTTTAAAAAAGAAACTGTAGACGTTACATAATTATCTTTTAAAACATCTCGTAGTGTAGCATGTTTCAGGCCTTTAAAAAATCTTCCCCTGAACCCTGACGGTTTGGATAACAACCAACGGGGAAAGGATCCACGGACCTGCCGTGGCACCAGGAAACGGAGGAGGAGGAGGGGAAGGGGAGCCCTGAAACCGCTGTTGTGAAAACTTCATCATCATAACCTCACCATCACGGAGAAATGGGGGCGTCTGGATTAGTGTAGGCAATAAAAATAAAGGGGGACAAAGAATTATCAACAATGCTAAAACCATGGAGTGAAAAATACAGGGTCCAGCACAAGTAACGCGCCCCCCCCTTTTCTTTTTCTTTTTTTACAAAATCTTTTATTACAAAATCATAAGCATCTAGTTCTGGAACATAACAATGTCACACTCAAGCACATCATATGACATTTTAGGTGAAATGTTCAAAATAAAACTATACGTTATTACGCCCATATTATTGCCCTAGCAACCACACTCACACAGGTGTTACTTCTGCTAGACCCTGTATGTTGGAGAGCAGGGTATTGACATAGCCTCAAACTATCTCCTCATAAATTACCCATTAATGACCAAAAAAAAACTAGTGGAGACATCAGGTGTACTCCACCCTAATCAAGGGATCCTAGTTATCACTAATTATGAAACACGCTGACCCTGAGTGCCTCTGGGATGCATGGAGAAGGAAATGATGTTTGTAGTTTTTCTGCCAGAAAACTGCAAAATCTGCATCTAAGCATAAAGATACTATTAGACAAATCTGTTGAGGCTTGCATTGGCATCCTTTTTCCCCCAAAATAACAGTTTCGTAAACGAAAAGAAAGGCTTGAAATTGCCTCAGCTTAAAGGAGACCAAAGAGACAGGACTGCTGGGTCATGAATTAAATTCTGGGTTAGCAAAAACAGAGGAAAAGATCCTATGAAGTTATTCCTCTGCAAAAACGCAGGTCAGTGACAGCCCACTAAAGGTCCGCCAGATCAGGAGCCTGCACAGAATGGAAATGTTGGATCGCCGTGCTCACATTTAGTTCATGTGACATTTTTCCCTCTGGCAAGATAGAGCTGGTGAAAGAATCTGAATGTCAATTTGCATTCTCGAGGAAAATCCTATCTTACCGCAGGCTGGCACCAAACTTTCTGGGAACTACTTCCGAGGCACCCTTGGGGTAGTGCTTCTGAAGGAGGGCATTGGGACAACTGGCTAAAATGGAAAGTGGAGTGTATGTGTATTAGACAGCCATTACGTCAACATTGGACTTCCTGAATTTGAGCACAGTACCAGGGTTATTTAGGAGACCACCCTTGATTTTAGGAGCTCCGTGAAAAAGCGCACAGGTGAAGGGTGGTGATGTCTGCAACTCACGTACAAGTGGTTTAGTAAAAAGTTGTCACAGCCCGTGTGTGTCCAGCCAGCATGAATATAAATGTGGCAGAATGCCAGCAAATAGTGAATCGAGGTGAGGAGTCCACTATTTTTGTGCTAGTCTTGCAAGTATGTAAGTTTGAAATTGTTTAAATAAGAAGTAGGGAAAAAAAGAGGAGTGTTCCAGAGAGAGCCAGGTATCCACCATTGCACTCGACTACGTTTCTTAATGAACGTGGGGCCCAGGTGAGGCTGTTGACCTGAGTATCTGGTGAGAGCAGTCGGCTGACCCAGCTGTGCTTCCCGTGCACCCTCAGCGGCTGCATCAGAGGACGCTCTGAGTCCTCCGCCCTCCGGTTTTCCTCCGCGTCTCTGTTCAGTTCCTGCCTGTGCTCCTCGTTACTTTTTATGGGGGGAGTCAATAAATAAAACCCATCTAACTTGTGCTTTCTGCTGAAACTCAGGTTTCCGAGCAGGAAATGGATGAAGTGATAGCACGCAGCACTTACCAGGAGAGCAAAGAGGCCAATTCCTCTCCTGGCTTAGGTACTGTAATCGCACATTTTTGTTCGCCATTCAGAAGCGTCTCGTGAAGTTTCCCCCGGGGGGCTCCCCCGTGCAGTATTATTGGATTCTCTGTAATTATCATGTTGGGCAGAAGTAGCTGTCAAAGAGATTCTCTGCTTGCTCTTAGCTGTTACTTTCGATGTCTGCAGTTATTTAATCTGCCTTATTAAAGTTCTAATTATGCATGCTTGTACGATAAGATCATTTGCAAAAGTGAGCTAAGAGCAATCCATCTGAAATGTTCTAGGTGAACACGAAGCGACACCAAAGACAGCAGCTCTTTGGTTTACCCGTGGCTGGGCACAGAGTACACTATCCATCCAGAAGCCTGGGGTTTCTTTACGTGAATTAAACGCTTCCACTTAAGGAAGGTGATACAGGCTGCATAAATCACACTTTCCTCCCTCTTGCTTGGAACAGTTCAGGCAGAGGAGGCCTGAAATAGTAAGGATTTCATGTGAATTTAACATAGGAAGCGTTGCATTGAGTTGTAAAGTCACGTGTCCTCTAGCATGGAAACCTAGAGGGGCTTGGCAGCGTGTCTGAACTGGAGACAGGCCCGACGTGGAGAGTGATGTCGGAGGGACAAGGAGCTGAGGCAGGAGTGACAGGCTGTCAGAGGAAAAGGAAGGCGTAGGAATTCTTGGAAATCATGAAATGCCCCGATTATTTGCATCCATGATTAATACATGTGAAATTATGGCACAGCCATAATGGGCTCTTTATTCAACCAGCTCATTCTCCCGACCTGCCTGAAAGCTGCCTTCTCATAATCCCAGCATCACCACTGATCACTTATAAAAGGTCCTATTAAGCCACAATCCTCATGCCCAAGATCTTGCTGCTCATAGCACAGAAGCCAGAGTCTCAATGCTGAGTCTCTGCATCCTTCATCCAGAATCTCAAATACATACTCAACACTCTCCCCAGTTCTGCCCTGCGTCTCTCGGGCAGTGTCCCTTTGTCCACTCATCCTCTGATCAGGGTGCCAGGCTGGGTGCTGCGGTCTCAGATCAGCGAGGGTTTCAGCCCTGCACGTGGTTAAAGCATTGAAGGGAGATGAGGTGCATCCACTTATGACTCAATTATGCTGTGTGCACGGGAATGGGTGTGTGAGCAGTGTAAAATACTTCTGAAATTTAGAAGACGTTACTTCTAACCAGCATCATTGGTAGCACCCGAGTTAGACCTGAAAGCAGGCGCAGAATCTTGGGAGGGGGGCGGGGTGGGACGGGGCAGGGCCTGGGTGCCCGGGTAGGGGACACGCACGTTGACGCACGTGGCCCGTCAGGGCTAGTCCAGCGAAGAGGGTTCTGTTTAATGTGCTTGGCTGCTCCTCCTCTAGTTAAGGGTGTGAGCCTGTTTGTAAGGGTTGAGCTTCGTTGTTCTGACAGTCTGGTGACCTTTCCCCAACAGGTACCCCCTTGAAGAGCCCCTCTTTTGCAAAGAAGGTGAGTCAAGGTGCACTGCAGCCTCGCCCACCTGCCTCGGGAACAAAGTCCCGGAGCCCAAAAAGGCGAATGTGAGGGCCCTGGTGACATTTCTGTCCAGGAGTCACTTGGCTGCTTTATACAGCAACAATGCTGACTTGAGAACAAATACACAAATGGGTGTTTCTTTCTTAACGATTTACCCAGGGAAAGGATAGAAAAACAAAAGAACGGAGCTGCAGTTTGAAAACAGCTGTCCAAATGCCCCGTAATCAGAGGGCCCCCGGGCCAGGTCTGGGGGCCCCACAGCCGTGAGGAGCTGGTGGGCGCCTCCTCGGCCGGCTGCCCCCAAGTCCCAGCGGGTGGGACTGTGGGGCTCAGGCTGCCCTGTGTTTTGTTTCATGGGCGGGCTGAGCCCGTGGCTCGGAATCTCACTCTGTTGTCCTCTCTTCCCCACTGGTTTTCCTGGGAGGGCTGCTCCAGGGCTGCCCCGGCCTTTCTCATCATTACCAAACATTTAGCACCAAAAAAAAAACAAAACCTTAAAAAACGTCATCTGGCAGCGACCACTGGCTTTTGATTCATTGGCCGTTTGACGAGCCGTCCTGAAGTAAGTGGAAGTGGGTGTGCACCGTCACAGCTGTTTGCAGTGACCGTGGATTAGGACCGAGTGCTCGGGGAGAGATGGGAGTGGTCAGTGTTCGGGATGGCTGCCTCCGCGCGCCCTCCGAGCCGCCTGACGCGGTCTTCTCCGACAGGACTCCTTGGCCTCTGACTCTGAACTCTCCCAGTACTTCGCCCAGGACGTCCCAGGCCCCTTGTCGGACTTCGTGGTGGCCGGCTCCGAGGACGAGGATCACACGGGCAGCGGCTGCAGCACCTCGGAGGACGGCAGCCTGCCACCCGGCCCCTCCGGTAAGCCGCGGCTGTTTTCCCACCCGGGCCTCTCCGGTCCACGCGTCACGGTGCTCCGGTGGGAAACCAGGCCTCTCGCTGGCCGAGTGTCGTGTCGGCCGTCTGTCTGCCCCGACTACGTCCAGAGTTCATTCTCGGGGAACACAGCCGCTGCTAATGGCCGGCCACTCGCGCCTGCAGCAACAGGCCGGGCGCTCAGTCTGTGCGGGCGGGTGGGGGAGGCCGGGCCCGCCGCCCGCAGGTGCCGAGCTCACGGCCGAGCCTCGAGAGCGGTGCTGCCAAGTCAGGACGGGCAGCTTGATGGCCGGGCTTTCCGGGGAATCGCAGCCAGACGCCAGGGTCCGTGCCTCCCCGGGCCCTCACTGAGCTCTCTGGACAAGGCAGTGGGTGGAGGATTCAGGCCCTGGGAGAGACAGACGTTGGATCTCGTGTGGCTTCTCTCCTGTGTACACTGGGAGACGACCGGGCCTCTGCCGGCAAGGTTTCCCCTCTCGCTGCACTTCAAACGTGCGAGCGAGGAAGTGCCCCGTCCGAGGGCAGGCCGGCGACAGTCACCCCGACTCTTACTTGGAGCACCTGATGAGCTTCCTCGGGTCTGGGGGAGACACTCCCAGGCACAGGCTTGTGTGACTTCTCACTACCCTTAGCAAGATGCGTCGAGTTCTCAGACCAGCCTGGGCCCCTTTCCCCTTCGCTGATGGGATTTACTCACAGATGATCATCGCAGGCTTCCCTGTACCACACGGTCTCGGGGCTCCCGTGCCCTCCGAGGGGGCCTGCCTTGCTGCCCATGCAGGGAGGACCTCAGGTGACCGGAAGGCCCAGGCGAGGGGCACTTGCTTGGTCCCCGGTCAGCCTCCTGAAGAGGGACTCTCAGCAGCAGCATCTGAGTCAAACCCCAGCGATGTGTTAGGCATCCTCGATGGTGACAAACGATACATTTCTGTTTCTAGGCAGCACCCATGTTTAAGTTAAACACCCCAGAGGTTCTGGTACAAAAACAAACACACACACAACAAGGGAGGCTGGGCGGAGAACGGGGGCGGGAAGCCGGTGCCCGCTGCATGCAGACCTCACAGAGCCATGCCGTCGGAGCCAGGCGCCCCATGGCCGCAGGCCGCCAGAGGGCGGTTATTGTGCAGCATGTGGACATGCTCCGGGGGTGCACGCGAAGGCCAGGCCAGACAGCTAACTTCTTCACTTGACTTTCCTTTCCCGCCAGCTCCCAAGGAGCCCGGAAAAGCCAGGGCCAACAGCCTTGTGTGTCTGGGAAGCCAGCGCAGCTCCGGGCTCTTCCACAAGCAGGTGACGGTTGCCAGACAAGCCAGCCTCCCCGGGAGCCCGCAGGCGCTCCGAAACCCTCTCCTCCGCCAGCGGAAGGTGGGCTGCTACGAGGCCGACGACGCCAGCGACGAGGGCGAGTTCGGCGGCAGCGAAGGCGACTGCGTCTCCCTCCCAGGGACCCTCCCCGGTCCCGGCAGGCCTCGGACGGGGGACGACTCTCGGCCTGTCTCCATGACCTCTTCCAAGGTCACGGGCGTCAAGAACCAGGAGGAACATCCCCCGAAAATGCCGGTCAGCAAGGCCTCCTCAGTGCCTCTCCTGGGCAGTGCATCACACTTAGAGGGGGGTGTCCCGGGGGACATGGGGGACACTCTTTTGCATGCGGCCAGCCTGCTGTCCTCTGCAGAGGCCCCCAGGGGCAGCTCGGGCGGCTCGGGGCGGAAGGAACTGTCGGGATCCAGGAGTTCGCCCAAACTGGAGTACAGAGCCAGTCCCCGGAGTCCCGTGAGTGTGGACAGCCCCGGTTCCCCCCAGAAGGATGGAAGCCTGGGGTCCAGGCACAGACCTGTGGCCAGGGTCAGCCCACACTGCAAGTGGCCAGAGGCCGACGCCAGGCCCAGCAGCTCGGAGACAGTGACCCTGACGGGGGGAGCTGACGACCCATGTGGTCTGGATTCCCCAGTCCAGGGCGCTTCAGGGCAAGTGACCACGACTGGTCTTCGACCCGGTGGAACTGTGGAAAAGGTAACTGGTTTCCTTAGTTGCTTGGGATCTAAGTGGAGATTGTGTGAATGAATACAGGGTGCGTTATAAAGCACAAGGGCATCATCTGCCTGCAAGAGAGATAATGACAGGGGAATTCTCCTTTAACAAGGCATTCATTTCAGCACAGGCCAGCCCGAGGGCCTGTGCATACATCAGCGGGGGAGGGGGGGGGGCGGTGCAGGGAGAAGTGCCCAGGTGTTGAGGAATGGGTCATTCGGCCAAAAGATACCGTTGCCCTCTTACCTGACCACGGGGCCTGTGGCTGATGATGGGAGGCAGGTGCGAGGCAGGTGGAGGAGAGCCCGGGGCCTGGGCCCGGTCTCTCCACTGACCAAGCTGGGCAACCTCTGAGGCGGTTACTGAGCCTTTCTGAGTTTTAGAATCCAGACCACCATTGTCTGGGCAGTGAAGGAGGGACGCCCTACGCCCTGATCAACGCCCAGAGTCGGGGTGGCCATCAGACACGGGGTAACAGTGACTATCCCCTACTGATAAAATTCTGAGTGACCCTTATTTTTTAAACTCCTTCCAGTTAGTTCTGCTACTCCTTGATTACACCTGTGTCAGAATGGCCCAGATTTATCAAATTGCTCGTTTTTTTTAATGTCAAAATACCTCCACTTTAGCAAGGAGTAGGAGACACAGATGTTATTTACGATCTCCTCAACGTGAATGATTGCTGTGTGAGCAAAGGATCTGAGGTGACCTGTGAGGCCGTATTTATAAAGATGTGTATCCAGGTGGTTTATATAAACATTCATGTAAATAGACCCAGAAAATACAAAGTCACAAAAACTATGCTAAACAGAGGGGGTTTTCTTAACCTGGTCGAAAAAGCAGAAATGCACATCTTTTTTCCTCCTAAAAAACTATGACCTCCAAATAGCAAATGTGTTTGAAAATGTAACATTCAGCCAATGGGTAAACCTTTTCTTTTAAAAAGTATCATTGATAAGTTTTGGATAACTAAAGTCAAACTGGCATTTTTATTCATAATAATTTACATCTATTAAAATAAGGCTTTTTGCAATTGTTAATTAGTATTCCCAATACAAACTTCAAACAGTATTTAAAACTTTTGGCCCAAAGAAGTTTAATGTTTCTCTTAAAAATTTTAGTTCCAAAATTTGATTTTATTTATCCATAAGAAAGAAAATAGAATGCATTGCCATAAAGCATTTACCCTCAAACAGTGGGTAAAAGATTATAAGATTATTTTAAAAAAATAAGATTATTTTAATAAAAGATTATTTTTTAAAAAATAATCTTTTGGTAAGTGGGTTGCCTCCTGTTTTTTATTTAATACTTTTTAAAATTGAGAAGAAATTCACAGAACCTAAAGTTAGTCGTTTTAAACCGTGCAGTTCCCCAGAATTTAGGGCACTAGCAATGCTGGGCAACCCACTTCTGTTTCTTGTCACACTGGTGCCCGACTGGCCAACAGAAGGTTAACTGTGTCCAACCCTGTGCGGATTCCCCTCAGCAGACAGTTGGCATTTTACTGAATGATTTTTTGGACAGGAGCCCCTGAAAGGCCTCCCGTCCATTTCACCTCTGCCCTCTGCTGCCCCCTGTAGGCCACTCTCTGACTCGAACCCCAAGGGGAAATTCAGTGAACCCTGGCTTGACTTTTTAGTAAATTTGTTTTTAAAGAATTTTTCTTTACAGTAGCTAGTAAAAGGAAAGGAGATAAAGTCATTGGCACGTGGCCACAGTAAGATTCTGAAATGCTGAGTGTCAGTTCCGCTCACCCAGGTCGGCCCTCGCCCTAACCGGCGCGGCGAGGAACGGCCGCTCACCCTCAGGGACCTTGCTCTGCGGTGTGACGGCAGCACCTTCCGTCTGTGCAGCCTTTCGTGTGACGCGCGTGGTTTCTATTACTTACCTAGTCGTCTTTCATTTAAAACCCTGTGACTAGACAGGGCAAGCCTTTTCATCCCCATATTCTTCCTTTTCCCGTGCGGGTGGTGCAGCACACCTAGCTGTTGACGCTCTTGCCCGTTTTCAAGGGCACAGCTCGGGGACACTGGCAGCCTCAGTGTTGTGCGCTGCCGTCCGTCTCCACGACGCCTCCTCTGGTCACTCCAGCTGTTAAACACTAACTCCCCGCCCCCCTCCCCCCAGCCCCTGGACACCACCACTCTGCCCTCTGTCTGTGTCATTCTGACTGTTCTGGGCACTCCTAATACTTGTCTTTTCGTGACTGGTTCACTTCACTTCGCATGATGTCCTCACAGCTCATCCATGTTGTAGCCTGTGTCGGAATTCCTTTCCTTCCTGAGGCTGATTCCCATCTTCTGTAGAGACCACATTTGCTTATATGCTCATCTAACGATAGACTCGAGTTGCTTCCATATTTTAGATGTTGTGAATAATGCTTGTATGAACATGGGTGTATTTTTTTAAAGATTTTATTTATTTATTTATTTATTTATAGAAAGGGGAAGGGAGAGAGAAAGCAAAGGAGACAAGCATCCATGTGTGGTTGCCTCTCGCATGCCCCACACTAGGGACCTGGCCCGCAACCCAGGCATGTGCCCTGACTGGGAATCAAACTGGCAACCCCCTGGTTCACAGGCTGGGGCTCAGTCCACTGAGCCACACCAGCCAGGGCAACATGGGTGTGTTTTTTATCTCCTCAAGACCCCGCTTTCAAATTTTAGGTATATACCTGGAAGTGGGATGGCTGGATCATATAATAGTTATATTTTTAGTTTTCCTTTTGAGGAAACGCCACACTTCACAGTGGCCACACCAATTTCCATTCCCACCAGCAGTGCACAAGGTTCCCATTTCTTCACGCCCTCACCAGCACTGGTTACTTCTGTCCTCCGATGATGGCCATCCCGCTGGGTACGAGGTGCTGCCTCATTTCCCTAACCGCCCCCACTTGGAAGTCAAGAAGACAGAGGCTTAGGAAGAGCGACAGGAGCGTGCAATTTCTAGTTAACTCAGACCCACAGTCCGGTCTCAGGGCTCCGAGTCCAGGGCTCTCTGCGTTGCCCCCAAACCAGCTCTGCTCTGCGTGTGACGTCTCGGGATGCAGACTGCCCGAAAGCTGTAGACAGTGACTTTGCTGTTGTCGTTGTGCCAGGAACCTCCGGGGAGGCTGACGGCCGGGCATGGGCCCCACCCAGGTGCTGGCCGCCTCGCCGAGAACCTGCCCAAAGCTGCAGCAGACCAGGGGCGGCAACAACCCGGGACAGGTACGATAATCATCATTCCTTACGCTCCTCCACGGGAGGGTGGACATGCCCCTGGGAATTGGCTGGGGGAATTTTAAGGGGGAAGAAAAACTCTTACACAGATGAATGACACTGAAAAGCAGCCTGCATCTAATTACTGACTCACTGTGCCTGAGCTGCTCGTCCCCGTGCCACAGACAGGCGCACATTTTCACCCGTTTGGTGACAGGTGCTGTAGATGTGAATCCAGGCAGGCCCCCGGCTTTCCGGGGACCTGGGGAAGTTACGCAGGGTCTCCACAGGTGTCTTGAGCCGGCCTGTCATTGCCAGGTGCTCTCTACTCAAAGGCCAAGGGGTACAGGTGGTGGTGGGGGCTGTGGAGCCAGCCTCCTGGGGTGACCCCTGGCCAGAAACCCCGTGGCCCTGGGTATGTGGCTTAGCCACTCCAGGCCTCGGTTCCCTGCCATCCCAGTGCTCACAGTCCCAGTGCCAACCTCATGGGGCCAGTAGGGAAATTAAGTGCAAGATAAGCTCTTAGCATAGTGCTAAGTTGTACTGATTGTCTCTTAATAGGTGACACAGGAACTGGAGGAGGGAAAAGGCATTCGGGGTAGACACATTTCTCAAAGGCAGAGCTCTCACTGTGACTTCTTTCCAGCCTCAGGCCTGTAGTTCCCATAAAATAGCAAATCTTACGTTTTGTTTAAGCCAGTTTCCGCCCCCACAGCACAGTGTCGTGTGCCAGATGTTGTGGGCAGGTTAGCCCCCGAGTGCCGGGGCCTCGGGAGAGGCGGCTCCGGGGCCAGGGAGCTCTCCGCCGGCCCTGCACCGTTGAGATTCCATGCTGCTGCTTTTTGAGTTTAAAGAAAGGGAGAGATGAAGGCAAGAGACAAAGGGGGAGAGGGAGAGGGAGAAAGAGAGAGAAACATTGATTTGTTGCTCCACTTATTTATGCAGTCATTGGTTGATTCTTCTGTGTGCCCCGACTGGGGATTGAACCCTCAGCCTTGGCCTCTCCAGACGAGGGTCTAACCAACTGAGCCACCCAGCCAGGGCCTCGTGCTGCTTCTTGCTTCCCTGCATTCATTCCGTTTTCTTCCTTACCCTCCTCATCACTCTGGTCAAACTACCCCTTCAGAACCCCACTCCAGTCCCCAGCCCTCTGTCACAGCCTCCCAGGGCGACCTGGCCTCCGGCTCCCCCACCCCTCTGAGCTCGGTGAAGACACGGCCCCCACTCAGCGTGGACTCGCATCCTGTCTGTGGCATTCCACCTGTCTCCCAGATGAGCCCCGTCTCTGCGCGAAGCAGTGAGTCCCTCAAGTTCGGCGCTTGGGCTGCTTCCTACTTCCCTGTGTGGCTTACAACCCACACCTAGACCGCAGGTGCCCGGCCAGGTGCTGGCACTGAGAGAGAGAGACAGGTGGCCTCTGCAGAGTCCACGGGAAGCTTAGGAAGGACCCAGAACCACAGCCTGACTGCCATGGCGTCTGCCGTCACAGTGACCAGTGCAGAGAAACCCGGGGCAGCGCTGGTGCTGGGCCCCGGCCCTTCAGCCGGACCAGGAGAGGAAGGGGGCAGCCGCAGCCGGGCTCCCCACCCGGTTCTGGCGCAGCCAGCGCCCAAAGCAAGTGCTGCTTGCCGGACCCGTGTTCTCCGTGGTTGGAGAGACAAGAAGTCCCACATTCGGGCTGTGGGGTGTCCTTCTGAAACAGACAAAAAAGACGGTTTCCCTTTATTTTTTACTTGAGTTTTTCTATTTTCTCACCTTTTCCCTTCTACCTCCCTTCGTGTCAGCCCACCTTTCGTTTGCTTTCTCAACACAGGACTGGATGGCTCCCCCGACCGTGTCCCTTCCCCAGGGCTGAAGGGGGCCACGCACCCTAACCCCAGCAAGACCTCAGGGGACACAGAACAAGTGAGGCAGCCTGAGGACCCCGGAGGGCCAGTGTCACCTAGGGTCCCCAGGTCTGAGGACAGATGTCCCGTCGGCCTTGCCCAGGACCACAGCATCTCCCCAGGGAAGACCACAGCGGCTCATCCCGACTTCGGCGCCACGCAAGCAGCCCCCGAAACCAGCCGGCCAGACACCCCCGGGAAGGCAGGTGCGCACGGGGGAGCAGGACCCGAGGCAGAGGGGGCGACTCCGGCAGGCCCCGTCCTGTCACCAGGCCTCCTCGCGTGCCAAGATAGACAAGAAGTTCCAGGTGACCACAGCCAGGCTCTGCATAGGACGGGGACCCTCACACCTGAGCGCTCCCGGGAGTCTGCGCTGCTCCAGGGACCAGACGCCAGGCCCACGGGGGCACCGCAGGCCCACGGCTCGTGCAGGTCACCCGCCGACACGGCCCCAGGGGAGTGTGGCAGTGCCTCGGGGCCCGGCTGCCCCGCGGTCAGCGGAGGGAGCCCTGTGACTGACATCGACGGCCTCATCCAGGAGCTGGCGGCTTCGGAAGGAAGTCCGCGGTCTCCGGACAAAGGGGACCGGGCGAGTCCAGAGGGCAGCTCGCGGGGCGCGCTTCCCGCGGCGGCCGGAGGGGGGCGTGCGGGCCGCGCCGAGCCGGGCACCGGTGCGCCCGCGCCCCTGCAGTGGGCCTCCCAGCCCTCCGTGTTGGATTCCATCAACCCTGACAAACACTTCACTGTGAACAAAAGCTTTCTGAGCAACTACTCAAGAAATTTCAGCCCCTTTCATGAGGACAGCACGTCCCTGTCCCTGTCGGGCCTGGGTGACAGCACAGAGCCGTCTCTCTCGTCCATGTACGGCGACGCGGAAGACTCCTCGTCCGACCCCGAGTCGCTCCCTGGAGCCTCGCGAGCTGCCGCCCGAGCCAGCTGGTCCCCTCCTCGTTCTCGGGGCTCTTCTCCCAAGGAAGAGGCCACGGAGTCTGAGGAGGAGCAAATTGAAATTTGTTCCACCCACAGTCCCCCCAGCCCCGCCCCGACCGCAGCACACCCGCCTACCTGGGCAGCACCCTGCCCTACTCTGGCCGCAGCCGCGCCCCCAGCACACGGTGCCCCGAGCGAGGCCGCAGCTAGTCCCCGCGACGGGGCCTCCCCTGCAACCCCAGATGCTGCCCAGCCGTCGGTTCTCCTGCATGGAAACTCTCAGGGGCGCGCACCCCACGCAGACCTAAGGATGGCACAGAAGCGCAGGTCCTTGTGTGAAGGAGCGGCGGTGGAAGCCAGCGGCAGTGGCTCAGCCGCGGAAAACGGCAGGGCTTCTTCTGACGCCGCCCGGCGTTCGCACAACCACGCAGTCCCTCTCGGCCCTCCTGGCGCGGTCAATGGTTTGGGACATGACTTACTGGATGGTGAAAGCCCGGATAAAAAAACAGAAACAAAAATTAATGCAACCGAAAGTCGGTCCTCCTCTCATGTGGGTGCGCCTGAGAACGGGGAATCTGTTTCGACTACCCTGCACATCTCTGAGAGCCAAGACCCGGATGACATTCTGCAGAAGCCAAAAATGGTCTCCAGGAGGCCCATCATGGCCTGGTTTAAAGAGATCAATAAAGGTCACCAAGGTGGGCACTTGCAGAGCCAAACGGAAAAGGAACAGTCGGCGGTGCCGGCCAGAAGTCCCGACTCCAAGAGCCAGGTGCTGAGCACGAACCACAGAAAGGGGGCTGCCGTGCCCAACAGTCCCCCTCAGCTGAAACTGAGTCTTGAAAATAGAGATGCACCTAGAAAAAGTTCAGTGGAAACCCTTCTAAGTAACTGTCAGAAATCCAAGTGCGGCCCTAGGCTGAGGAGACTGAGCATCAAGAGCAAAAGCAAAGGCGGCTCCGAGGCGCCCGCTGCTAACCCGCCCAAGGCCAGTGGGGCGGACCACAGGAGATCCCTCGTCTCCCCCCAGGCCTCCCACAAAGTGCTTTCCAAGGCAGCACCACACCGGCTCCAGGGAGCCGACCACGAGGACCCCGGCAAAAACGCCACGGCCACCGTCAAGTCTCCCCAGAGTGTGCTGGACAGCAAGCCAGCCCCTGCGGCCCCGGGGTCCCTGAGGCCATCGGCGTCGGACACAAGCATCAGACCGTTCGTGCCGTCCCCGACCTCCCCCAAGGCTCCTCCCGAGCAAGGTGCGGGTGGGAGGTTCCACACGGCTGTCCACTCAGAACCCGACAGAGGCTGCCCGCCCACCCCCAGGTCGCCTAGGTGTGGGCCAGAGAGCAGGGAGGCGGCGGGGACGGGTCCCGCAGCCTCGAGGAGGAGCAGCAGCGTGTCCGTGTCCGCAGAAGAGGACTCACGGGAGCTCCCGCCTCCCGGGCAGGGCCAGCAGCTCTCAGCCAGCCAGACAGGTTTGGTACCCGAAGGAGCCCAGCCTGGGGTACCTGGCGACAGAGGAAGCCGAACAATTGCTAGCGACCCCCCAGAAAGAACAAACCAGCTGAAAATAGTTGAAATTTCTTCTGAGAGAATGCCAAAGCAAGCCTGGGGCGACGGGCCAGCCGAAAGTGACAGACCGGGCGGGTTCCTGGCCCCGAGCAACTCCCAGGAGAGGAGTGAAATCGGACTCTGTCACCAGTCGGCGGAACCGTCCCCCGGTCGCCCACCCTCACCCACAGCGTCGCGTGCCTCCCAGGCGGAGCAGGAAATGCAGCGCTCCTGGAGCATGGCGAAACTGGCCGCCGCCTGCTCCCCGCAGCTGCCCGCTAAAAAGGCAGGCTCCTCTCCGGGAAGGTCGCGCCAGATGTCGTCCGAGTCCCCAGGGACACCCAAGAATGGCACACCGGGGGGCCCAGCGCTGGACGAGCATCCCTACTTCATGCCAAGGCCGGCGACCAGGACCTACTCCATGCCTGCCCAGTTCACGAGCCATTTTGGACGGGAAGGGCCCTCCCTGCCCAGCCCGGGTCGCTCCCATCGGGACAGCCAGATCCCTGCCACAAGCAGTGGCCTTCTCGAGGCCAAGGTGTCCCCCCGAGGCGGTGCTCTGGGCCTGGTTAACGGACAGGGCATCTACAGTGTGAAGCCGCTGCTGGAGACGTCAAGGAACCTTCCGCCAGGTGACAGAGGGGATGGCCTTTCCACGCAGGACACGAGCTGCCTCGTCACAGACAGAATCAAGGTCACCAGGAGACATTACTACCCTGAGCAGAACTGGCCCCATGAATCTACCTCATTTTTCTCTGTGAAGCAGAGGATCAAGTCCTTTGAGAACCTGGCCCACTCTGACCGGCCCACGGCCAAGGCTGGGGCTTCCTCTTTCCTGTCTGTGAGCTCCAAGCCTCCCATCGGGAGGCGCTCTTCTGGCAGCGTGGCTTCGGGGGGCTTCGGCCTCCCCAGTGACCCAGCCGCAAGGTCACTGAGACGCAGCCTGAGCTCCTGCAGCGAGAGCCAGAGCGAAGCCGGCAGCCTCATCCCGCAGATGACCAAGTCCCCGTCCAGCATGACGCTGATGGTCTCCCGGCAGAACCTGCTGGAGGCCGGCGTCAAGGGCCCTGACACTGACCCGAAGAAACCCCCGGGGCCTTCCGGAATCCCTGCCCCAGCAGTGCCACCGCCGGCTGCCCCCGTCAGGAGGAACAAGTGCTCGGTGCGCCACACCCAGCCCTCGCCCCTGTCCCGCTCTAAGCTCCAGGAACTGAGGGCCTTGAGCATGCCTGACCTGGACAAGCTCTGCAACGAGGACTTCTCTGCAGGGCCCACGGCTGTGCTCTTCAAAACCGAGCTGGAAATCGTGCCCAGGAGGTCGCCTGGCTCCCCGGCCGGGGGCCTCAACGGGTCCACTGCCCTTCTGTGCCCTGTGAAGGGCGGGGACAGGGCCTGTCCCGCAGGAAGCAGGCCTAAAGCTGGTGAGCCTGGGGCACCCAGTCCCACCGACAACGGCGATGGGAGTGAAACCACCCAGGCTCCGCCTTCCGGAAAAAGCTGGTCAGTCAAGTAAGTATCTGCCCTTCCCCCTTTTACTTAAATAAACTCTTTGTTATTATGGACTCATTTTAGATGTATAGAAAAGTTGCAAAAAACGTGCAAAGTGTTTCCATGCACCCCTCTCCCAGTTCTTCCTACTGTTAACGTCTTTCACAACCACCCTCCTCTGATCACAAGAAGTTAACACTGGGACAGCACAGTTAGCTACAGGCTTGGTTTAGATATTGCTGAATCCCACAGAAGTCCTGTTCCTGCTCCAGCCTCCAGCCCAGGGTTCCCCCGTTGTTTTTAACATCATTGCTGGAACAATGACGTGCCTGCAGGGAAGACTGTTTGCCAAAACCGTGTGCTAAGGGGGTGCTTCTGCAGGGCGGGGCGCTCAGACAGAAGCTCCCAGAGATGGTGGGTGGAGGGGCCACACCTCAGGGAAGAATCTGGGCCTTCGACGGTGACTGCAGTTAAACAGGGAGTTCCTAACATTTTAAAACACTTCACTTCAACCTATACGTGGCTTATTTTTTAATGCATCAAATTTGGTTAAGTTACCACATGGGTCCCCTAACATCTTGGAGGAATCCCTGAATCCATAGTAGTTCCCCCTCGTAATACCTAGAATGTAGTTGAAAGGAGATCATGTTACATGCGTCCTTAAAAATGGAGAAATTGCTTTTTTTTTCCTTTAATATTCTCCTAATGCATTTGTATTATTTAGTTTGGATCAGCTTCTAGGGTCAGCAGGGGACCAGCAAAGATTACAGGCCGTTTTGTCCTCGGTGAGGTCGAAATCTACCATCCTGGCTCTCATGCAGGAGGCGAAAGCACAATCAGAGGTGAGTGAAACAGAAAACACAAAGAGGTGAGACTCTGGCCAGGTCCGCGCCCGGGCATGTCCACGAGCTCAGAGATCCGGAGAGCCCAGCTCCAGGTCTCGAGTTGTGAGTCTGCAGCTCACTCTTCTGTCTCACTTGCAGACGGGTTCAGAAGCTGCACCTCGTCTTGCATTTTTAGGTGATTGGTGCAGCTGCTATTTTAATCCCCCAGTGGCGACTCATTACTGACCTCCCATCCCACCCCACCCCACCCCACACTTCAAGTGTGTGTCTGCACAGAGTCCTCAAAACAGGCAACTTGGAATTGCTAGGGAAGGTGGACCTAAACTACCTGTCAAGAGCGCCACCTGCTGGGGAAATAAGTTAACATCTGTGTGGCCCTGCCCTGGGCTTCCCAACAAGGGAGCACATTACTCATTACAGTCTTTAAATAAATTGGACCGTGGCAGTAACAACAAAAGAAACCATGGGGGGGGGGGTCCCTACCTAGAATACTATTCTGAAGTGCAACATTAATGCCTCAGGACTACCTATAGAGATTTGCTAAGAAATGAAGATTTTTTATTGAGAAAAAAGCAAATTTGAGCTGTGTTCCATGAGGGGTAACGTACCAGGGTCACTGGTAGCACCTGAGGACACTGACGGGAGAAGGGCTGTGACGCTGGCCCTAAGGAGGGACCCAGGGGAGGGGTGGGGGTGAAGCAGAGACGAGCCCCTTCGGCGCCCTCTGCTGGCTTTCCGCCCACCGGCTGGGCCTGTGCCGGCAAGAGAGGCCTGGGGCGTGCGGTGCCTTTCACCCTCAGTGAAAGGGACTGCTCCACCATCTCCCTCTGTCCCTTGACTCGCTACAATAAGGGAGCATTTTGCACGTGAAAGTCTGACTCAGGGATCTCCCGTCGGGGGGGTGGTGCAGTGGGACCACACTTTGCCCAGGGCCGCCTTTCCTTCAGACAGATGCTAAAGGAGAAAACCAAATGTGAAAGTTCTCCAAACCACCTCCCAAGAGATGGGACATTTTCAGGGGCCATTCGCAGGTAGCAGGTAGAGACTTTGTGTGTGGACAAGGGTGCTGAGCGCCCCCTGGGGGCATCTTCCGGGCCCTCCCTCACCCTGGCCCTGGTTCCACATTCACCCTGAGCCAGGCAGGTACTAACTATGGCTTGGTGCTGAAGGTCATGCTGACTTTCATCAGCATGCAGCTTTCTCCCCTGACTTTCTTACTGTCTTCAGTTGGTTTCAGAGGAGCAGTAAGCAGGGAGGTCCTCACTCTGCCATCTTTAGACCGGAAGTTTCCCGCCTTGCTGTTTCCCAATGAGTATAGTTTGTCAGGGCTGAGAACGGAACTGCCCGAAACAGCTGGCTCCTGGGGTGCCGTGGGAGACCGGAGGCGGAAGGCAGGCCCTGGTCTCCTGCTTGCTCTGGGCCCGCCCCTCGGGGAGCCCTAGCCCTGGTGGTGGGTCGAGCTTTCCCGATGCTGGGCTAAGCCTCACAGAGGCAAAATCTGGTCTGCCCACGTGGGTCCTCAAAAACAACTGGGAAAAGTTTTTTTTAATTAAAAATTTTGGTGATAACATTCTGGGATGCAGAAGAGTCTCATTTTCCAGTATTCTGTCTCTCTGCTCCACTAGTGCATGTAAACGGAAGTATTCCTATTTCAGCATCAAACACTACCTCTGAGAAGCTGTGCGTAGGCCATCTGCCAGGCCACACGGTGCTGCTTTTGTTGGGACAACCTAGTCATCATTCTTCTCTCCACTGAACCGTGTCTGAGCGCACACACGGTTCAACTGGCCCACCACGTCAAAAGCCCAACCCCTAAAAAGTTCTGTGGGACTTCGTATTGTCAGCACATGGAGCCTTCATTTGAATGAGCTTCTCCAAAGAAATCTGAAATGCGTTAAGATAAGCCCTTAGGGCTTACGAACAGAACCACACACTTTCAAATATTGGGCTCCTTCCCCAGCACAGTACCAAGGCGGGTTTCGCTTTCAACGTTTTCAGTTTCTCATCAAAGCAATCCTTAAAGGTTATTATTACATTCTTTTTCTACTGCCGTGTTTGAGAACACCTTGAGTTGATGGATTATAAATCACTTCACGGGCAACCTGGCAGTACAGATCTTTACAATGGCGATGAATCATCTCTAGCATGTGGGTGGAGGAAGTCAAAATTCGGTATAACTAATTAGCCCAGCTCATTTTATTTAAAACCTTTTGCCAACGTATCTTTTGATCGACGCTTGAAATATCCGGCAGTCTTTTGTTCCTTAACCTCAGGATCCTACTAAGAATGGGGTAGACGAGCTCACTGCGAGAGGTGACGGTTTTAATGTACTTTAAATAGTGTAACGCACTTGACAGCGTCAGACGCGCTTGGTGTTCTGGGAGTACTGCTTCACTGAGCGCACCTGGAGTCCCGTGAGCGGAACACGGGAGGAGGGGGCACTGAACTCCCGGCCTCTGCGTGCCCTTACCCTGCTCTTGGCGCTTCAGCGTCTGCCTTTGCTGCCCGTTTGCGACACTGTCGACTTGACTGTAGAATAAAGAACTCCCTTTGGGATCACATCTGGAAAGACAGTCTGGTGCCTAGAAGGGTGACGCGAGCTTCTAGACGGCCCCGTCCTGGCTCACGCCCACCTTTCTGCGGTAACAGAGCTGCAGGACGAGCCCTCGAAAACCCATAGAGCAACCGACCCCCCAGGAGGAGCGCAGCACGGCTGAGTCGTGGCTCGTCCACGCCAAATGCTCCTCGAAAGCTCCTGAAAAACCACTGGGCTTCATGGCGACAGATTTCAGTACTCTACTATAGGAGGATTTTTATCAGCACTCACTACTCTTGGCACAAGGAATATACTTTTACTTTTCTGTTTCTTTTCCCTAGAATAAAGAAGATGTTTGCTTCATAGTCTTGACTAAAAGAGAAGGCTCAGGTCTGGGATTCAGTGTGGCCGGAGGGTCAGAGGTGGAGCCGAAATCGACTGTGGTGAGTGACGAGGCCGAGACGCGCTCGGGGAGTCCCTGCGGAGGCAGCCCGGCGTGTGATCAGGACGGAACTCGTGTCCGGGGCTCAGGGGCCGCTGGTCTCCGTTCACGGGGACCCACGCGGCAGGGGAGCGGGGAAGGTGGTGCAGAGTGCTTCCCCTGACGGAGACGGGCCCTTCACGCAGGCTGGGGGACTGGGGAAACACCAGCACACGTGACCACGGCCATTCATCTGTAGCTCCAAATTCCCGTTTTATGTAGAAAACATCAGAACTGACGGACCCAGCCTGCATCTGCTTATGAAATTACTTCTTTCTCAAGAACCACTACCTGACAGTTTGTATCGCTCAGGGCCTTCGAGATCGTCCTTAACAGGACGAGGCCCGGCCCCCTTCCCCCGTGTGTTTTGTTGCCCCGTGGAGTGTCAGGCACGCCTCAGACACCAGCAAGGAGCTGAGTAAAAATGGGTTCAGATGCCGGCACTGAGGTGGGAATTCCACCCCTCGCAGTGAATATGTGTTCGATAAACCGAGTGTTGGGATGATGTGGAAAACCTGCTGCTAGACGCTCCCGCTACTGCAGACGTACAGTCCGCCTTTTGCTTTTACTGGCGGTCATAAATGAATCTGGCTCTGCCCTCTCCTTGTCCCAGGTCCACAGGGTATTTTCTCAGGGGGCAGCTTCTCAGGAAGGGACCATGCACCGAGGGGACGTCCTCCTGTCCGTCAACGGCACTTCGCTGGCAGGCTTGGCCCACGGGGACGTCCTGAAGGTTCTGCACCAGGCACAGATGCACAAAGATGTCCTCGTGGTCGTCAGGAAGGGAAACGGCCAGCCCAGGCCCTCCACCCGGCAGGAGCCACCCACCGCCAACGGGAGGGGCTCGCTGTCCAGGAGGACCGTCCCCCTGGAGCCTGGAGTGGGTAAGGCTCCCGCTCTCCAGCCCGCAGGGTGGGGGTGGGAGCGGCCGGCAGCGCAGACTCGGGTTGAACAGGAAGGACAGCAATAGCAATCACCATATCCTGGGTCAGAGACATTAAATGTACTGGAGTCTGGTGTTTGTGGATGCTGCTTGCAAAAGCAGGGTGACAAAGAAGTTTTTTTTTAAGATTTTATTCATTTTTAGAGAGAGGGGAAGAGGAGAAGGAAGAGAGGGAGAGAAACAGCAATGTGTGGTTGGTTGCCTCTTGGGCACCCCCTACTGGGGACCTGGCCTGCAACCCAGGCATGTGCCCTGACTGGGAATTGAACTGAGGACCCTTAGGTTCACAGCCCACGCTCAATCCACTGAGCTACACCAGCCAGGGCAAAAGAAGTTATTTTTTTTAAAAACCTGGTAGTTAAAGCCAGACTGCTGAAGGTTAAAATAGCTATATTTGACAGCTTCTCCAAACGTCCTGAGGAGGAAGCCCTTGCGCACTTCCATCCTCCTGTTAGGACTGAAGTGGCCGGTAGGTGGAGCACGGGGCGGCTGTGATGGGGGAGCCAGAGCTGAAAGAGCAGCTCCAGGCTGAGGGGTGTCCCCGGGACACACCAGGGTTTGTGTCGGTGCCTGTTGTGGAAAATGGTAAGGAAGCGAGGGGGCAGATGTGTTGACAGACAGACTTTCATCAGCCAGGAAGAGCTTACAGAAGAGGTTCAGGAACACTGTGTGCCCTGCACGGTCACACTAAGGGCCCCACAGGGCCACACTAAGTGCTGACTGGGAACCAGGCGCTGCTCTGGTTTCTGACGTGCACGTTCTCTCCCCACGCGTGAGCCCCAGTCTGCACCAACATGTGCACTGACATGCACACCGACAGTGGGGGCTCGACTGGGGCAGGACGGCACCCACCTGGAGAGTCTGCTCGGGCACAAAGGCGTTTCCACACTCGCAGACGGGCCTGAGCAGGGCAGCGGGTGCAGGGGTGGCAGGAGCACGGCCGGGAGGGCAGCCCCACACCAGGAGACCAGCCGGTGTCAGAGGGGGCTCGGCTGTGCCCGGGCAGCACGTCTGGGGGACTGAATGGGGAGGCAGTGAGCACCCCGTCTTCTCATCTTCACTGCAGGGAGAAGCACAGCCGCACACGACGCTCTGTGCGTGGAAGTGCTGAAGACCGCGGCCGGGCTGGGGCTGAGCCTGGACGGAGGGAAATCGTCCGTGTCCGGGGACGGGCCTCTGTTCATCAAACGCGTGTACAAAGGTAACGCCCCTAGAACACCAGCCCAAACAGGCAACACGCCCGTCGCCTGTTTTCTGTCTGTGTACGTCAGCGCCTCCCCTGGAAATCAGACCTGTTTTTAACAATCCAAGGTGCTTCTGATGCTTTCTCCACACCCAGGGTTGACGGGTGTCAGCCCTGTCATGAGTGTTTCCCATGCACTATCAGCTCACGTCACCCACTCGGCAGTCTGGTCACGTAGGTGCTGTTATCACCCTCACTTCATGAAAGCGGAGACTGAGCCACAGGGGACTTGTGCGGGGCCTAAGGTCACAGGTGGAAGTGGCAGAACCAGGCTGTGCAGCTTCAGAGCCTGGGCCCCGACTTCTGCGCACTCTCTAACTCCCTGTTCCTGTGCCTGTGTTCTTGGTGAACATGGGTGTTACTCACGTGAGCGTGCCCAGCTAAGTAATGCCATCGGAACGGCCAGTCGGGGATACCTACAATCGGCCGAGATCAGTCCACTAACACTGCAAATACCAGACTACAGGGGAGTGAAATGGCTGGTAGATACAAGGTCTCTTCATGAACCCGAATCATTCATCTTATGATCTTGGGCAGTTCTCCAAGTCTCCTCAGGTTCCTGAGCTGAACAATAAATATGTTAACAATATCGTTATACTAACAGTATCAGTATATATATACATGTAATACATCACATTTAATAATACTGAGTTAACATTAAATATTAATATTGTCTTATAACTAAATTTAATACTAAATTTTAATACTAATATTAGTTTAGCACTGCTTTATTAAAAACTAATGTTAGGGTCAGTTACGCTAAGGACAGTGTCTGCCTCTCATCAACACAAAATGTTTCTGTCCTCAAGTGGGTTGGATCTGAACTTACCTTCTTCCAGCTATATTTTAATTATTTTGTTAATCTTTACAATCAACTATAATCATATGGATATATGTTTAATATTTAAATATTTAGCAATGATTCTCGGAAATTTACGATGGGATAGCTACATCTAGTCAGTTTTCTGAGAATTAAGATTTCTGAGAAAATTTTCATATCTGGGAATTTTTTTCAGTGCCCTTTTTTTCCGTAAGTACTTCCACAGCCAGTGTGCGTGTCTTTTCCACACGACTGTTTTAGATGTGTGTGTGCAAGAAAGTCCATAGAAGAGGGCTTAAACTTGTTTTTCGGAGCCCATAAACTTGCTGTAACGTGCACCCAGCTGTAGTGTAGAAATACGTTAAAGCTGTGTAAGCGGAGATATTAAGTATCTCTCCATAGTCAAACTTGGATACATTAACCATTGTTGGTTAACAATTAGACGTTGAACCTGGGTTTTTTTGTTTATTGGCCATTTAGATGTTCAGCTATTGATTTCCTTTGTTCAACTTTCTCTTTATTTTGTATTCTTTTGAAATAGCTTCCCTTAGCTTCTGTTTTGCAGGGGGAGGGGAAAGGGTTCCAGACTTGAATTTTTTATGCAGTCGGGTTTCTTCTTACGGATACATGTTCTGTGTATCTGTCCTAAGACAATACCAGGCAGAGCTTTTTCTCGGTGAAGTGTTTAGAGTTAGTTCCTTGTGAACGCTATGACAGTACCAAGCCTTGTCCTGTGTGCCCCCGCCCCCCCCCCAGGCGGTGCAGCCGAACAAGCCGGAACCATAGAAGCCGGGGATGAAATCCTTGCCATTAACGGGAGACCCCTGGTCGGGCTCCTGCACTTCGACGCCTGGAACATCATGAAGTCTGTCCCGGAGGGACCCGTGCAGCTAGTGATCAGGAAGCACAGGAATTCTTCATGAAACCAGCGCGAGCAGTGACGCTCCCAGTTCTGGACAAGAATCACCTTTCCTCTGTTCCCTCCGGACCCTAGCAAATCAGACTGACTTCTTGACGCCGCAGCCTCCCGAAACAGCAGAGGAACGCTGGCGCGGGCAAGGACTCCAAAAATCTCCACATTGTTACCGACAGATGAAGCTCGACTCTGGAAGCTTTCCACCCAGGCCAGGAGGGTCCGTTGTGTCCCGGTGCTGGGCCCCCAGCTTTCACTTTTCCTGGTGGGGCTACAGATGTGGCCCGACGCCCTCCCCCCAACACCCAGCTGGGCCTTTGTTCCCCTTCCGCCACCTCTCCCCACATACCCCACCCGCGCAGCTGGGGAGCCTGCAGAGTCGGAGGGCCGCACAGCTGTCATGACTGAACAGACTCTGGATTTACATAATTTCCTAAGTAACCAAGCTTCAGGCACGTTCAGTGGAGAGAGCCGTGGTCTGTATGTTACCCTGAAAAGGAGACTTAAAAATATATACATATATATAAGAATCAATTATGACCTAATGGTTAGGCTGAGCTCAGGAATTATCCAAAAAGGAAAAAGCAGAATCCAGGAAGTGGTGTTTTTTAGTGAGTGTAATGTGCAATGTGTGGATGCAGAGCACAGCTCAGTGGGTCACTGAGCGCCGCGAAGTGCTGGTCGTAACCTAGGAGGAGTGTAGGTCGTAAGGCTCTTTTACAGAAACGCAGTTCTGATGAACTGCACTCGATAGCCATGAACTTTGCTGCTTACGGTGAGCAGGAAGTTCCAGCTCTGAAAGCACCTTGTATCCAGTTTGGAACCGGCCTTGAATTCAAGCACGAGTTCAAGACTGGCCAACACAGGAGCAGGCGGAACCGCTGCAGTCTCTGGGTTTCTATGCCTGTATTTTATGTACTCCAACCAGTAAGTTCAATTTTTAGAGATCAAATACCTTTTTAGTGTCCTTGGATTTATAAACATAGGCATTATATTTACAATCCAAATACAGGAGCTTAAGATAATTCTTGCAAGGGACTTTTTTTTGCGTTCTTTCCCCTTCCCAGCAAGCTTTAAAAAAAAATGGGGCTGTTTTCTAAGCATTGGATCACTTTTGCTGACCTGGGTGTAATGACATACCTCTGCAGTGACTGAAGTTTTTGCTATTTTTGTCTGTTTTGCAAAGTCTTCCTTTTGCCCAGCTGCTGTCTTACAGAACACCATTGTGACTCACGCTGCTTGTGAAACTTGTCCCAGCTGCTCTCCTTTCAAAGCAGGATCTTCGTCGGTGCTGTTCCTTGTCACAAAATTGGCTTTTCTCCCCCTCGTACTTCTCATCAGCTTCATTCACCAAAGAGTAGTGAGGAGGAGAATGGAGAACAAGAGCAAGTCCCTCTTTCAAGGTAAAGGAGCAGGACTGTGTAGTTACGATCCAGATCCTCAGGGTGGGGCACAGGCTAGCTGACTGAGTTCAGGGAGTACAGGTGGGACTGCACACCTGTGCACATCACGACGCTAAGGTTTCATGTTGGAGCGTCTTTAACTGACCTGCAGCTGGGGTCCATGGCTTAGAGGAGGAACTCGGGTCCTTACAGCCCCAATCACGGAGGCACTTGAGCCATCACCTCTGTCCACCATGTTTCTGCGCGACTGATCCCAGTAAACCTCTGTGCACCTGGCCCAGAGGGGCGTCTGAGATGGGAGCGAAATATCTGCTTGGTGTGAGCCTCCATTTCTCATTTTTTTTTAACAGGCTATACAAACGGAAATGTAGTACAGGAATTAGCAGAGGCCTGGTTAATTTAGCTTCTACTTTTCACTAGAATTCCACGTAGGCTACTATAGAACTTCAGTGCAAGGTGCATGCTAGGTTGTTTTCAAGTCTCTGGGGGGTCAGTTTTGTGGTTTGTTTTCTTTGACACGAGACTCTCCGAAGTCAACGCTGCAAACTCTCTCTCAGCCTCCACGCTCCAGCTGTGCTGCTGAGCAGGGCCGTCCCCTGTGACCAGGCAGGGCTTCCGGGGCGGTGCCGAGCGGGGCGGGAGTGGGGGTCTCCCTCGAGAGTGTCTGCCCCTCGCTCGCACCGCATGGGCGGACGTCTGGCTCACCAGACTCTGTCCAGGGCATCAGCCATCTCTCGTAGATCTCGCCGGAAGGATTCCCTGGCAGACAGCGGGAACATAAGGGAGCAAGCAGAAGCGAAACCGTTTTTGACCCTAAGATGATAGAGAGCTACTTATTTGTCTTCCGTGTTCGAGGCATGACTAGTGTTTCTAATTAGTCTAATGAATTCCCACACTTCCTGCAGTGAACACTAATGGTATTGTCCCACTGAAACGCTCATTGTTTTGGTTTTTGACTGGTTGGTCGTTCGCAATAAGCTATGAGGGTAAGTGTGTGTTATGCTACGTAAGTCATAGTTCCAGGGTAGACCGTGACGGGTGGAGTAGGTCGAGTTCGTCTCCGTTCTGCCACACACATCTCATGTAACTCTGTTTGACCTAACTGGCGCCACACCTGTTGTATGATATACATGATTCTTTATTTATGTAAAATAAAAATGCCTTATATTATTAAAGAGTTAAGTGCAATAATATGAAATAGCCTGTACATTTTAAAATGTTGTCACTGTTATGTAAACCCACATCTCTGTAAACAACCTTTTGTAAGTAATTTTAAAAAAATAAACACTCTGCTTACTAGTTTTTCTAGCTTTGCATCTACAGAATAACCATTTAAAAGGTCAAAGTAATACATTACCTAAATTATTATCTAGGTGGGTGAGAGGCGCAGAGGCACCAGAACATCAAGTCAGCCGCTCCTTCCCACAGCCGCACTCAGAATCGCACTCAATGTACTGCCTTCGAAACCTTCAGAGCCAACACCACGCCCTCCCGACCGTCCGGACCTCCCTCCCCTTCCTCTTCCTCTCACTGCCTCTCGGCTCCCCCTGCAACCAGCCCTCTCACAACTGTCAACTCTCCCCCCCTTCACCCCCAACTCTCCTTAGACTCGCCGCCAGGGCGAGTGCAACTGTCCCCTGCCCGTGGGCTCAGCTCCTCACCCCAACTAAACCCCGGAGCCAAGCAACCAGCCTGCTGCTTGGTTTCTACATGCCCGGTCCCCGAGAAAACCCACCACCACACAGAGCGGGGCTGCTATAAATTCCTGGTTTCCAGCCTCAGATGGGCACTCCGCGCCACCTGGCAGGCGTTTCCTTGTCAGTGTCTTCTCTCGTCCTTCACAGTGACCGCGCTCTTCATTTTCCTCAAAAGCCCGCCCCACTCACCTCCTCCCAGAATACTTGGATGATCTGGGATCCTACTTCATGGAGTAAAACAAAAAGCATCTACTTATTTGGGTTCTTTCGGTTTTAAGATGCAGACACCAACCGGAAGCAGCCCAATTAAGAAGGCAGGATGAAATCTCACCGAAATCCAAGAACGGGACCCAGCCTGTGACCACACCTCAGAACCCAGAGGGACTCGGGGCCCGTGGGTCCTCCTGATGGGCCTCGAGCCACGGGATACCGCCACTGTTCGTGGGCCCACTCCTGCAGACCCCACTCCTGGCCACCAACTGGCTGCCTCACCCCATTTCCCGACTTAGAGGTTTACGAATGCTCTTGTCTTAACGGTGGCCCCACTCCCTCCCAGGCCGTCTGCCTGGTTTTCCCTCTATCCCCCCAAAGTCAGATTCTGATTGGCCCTACTAGAACAGAGCTTTCGGCTAGGGGAGCCTCTCAAAAACCCAATGAAATAAAGACAAAGAGAAAAAGGAGAGTTTTAATCCAGTCCGGAAACAGCCACAAACCAGTTCTCTGTTCACGGAGGAACTGCAACCCACGTACAACAGGCCCCGAGACCAAACTGAAGGAGAACAATGAAGTGGGATCTGGTGCCCTCCGGATGGGGGAGCGCAAAGGTGCTGTGGAGGAGTTCCGAGGAGCGCAGGCAGAGGGGAAGGCGGGCCCCAGAAGAAGCCGGGAGCACTGGAGCTGGAGCTGCTTCCCCTCCTCAGAACAGCACCTGGGAGGGGAGGTTGAACACGGGGGTGGGGTAGCTTTAATTGCTCCAGGCACCTGGTCAGCCAAGGCAGGTCAGAGGAGTAGCAGGTGAGGGCTGAGGGAGGGTCTGAGCTGAGGGGAGCCCCCACCACACAGGACCCCGGGACAAAGAGCTAATCTGACTCCCTGAGCGATCAGTGGCCACCGGTCACCCGCTAGGAGGACCCAGCGAGCACCGCACCCCTTCTGAAGTCCACGCGGCCAAAGCCGCTGAGGGTCTGAGCGAAGGGGACCATCAGCCTGCGTCCAACTCTCCTCTTGCATCCTGGGGGAGGCACTGAACAGCGCTCACCCCCAGAGCTCTACACGGTCCACCCCCAACCAGTACTGGGCCCAAGGGCAGGCTTGATAAAACCCTCCCCCGCACCTCCCACTGAACAATCAGGTTTGGCCAATCCCTAGCCTCAGTGATGCTATTTTCAGGAAGGTATGAAATGGCTAGAAGGTAAATCCAAAATGTAGTTCATCAGATCAGTAGGACAAAAGAGAAAAAACATTGTGAAAGATACCAGTAAACAGTTTTAAAAGCCTGGAAAAGCCCCAGAATCACTCTCATTAAAGTCAGGAACACACGAAAAAGATGTTCACCATTGTTACTGTTGAGTAACATATGTTCTGAAGGTACAAGCCAACACAATTAGGCAAAATTTCTAAAGAGAGGTATAAACAGTGAAAAGAAACAAAAGTATCATAACTTGCACATGACATAGTTAAGCCGATATGAACATAAGCACATCAATTTAAAAATTATTAAAATATTAGAATTCAGTAAGGTAGCTATCAAATTATTCACCAAAACAAGAGCTTTCCCATATATAAATAATAACCAACGGAACACAGATGGCAAAAAACACTGAATCACAACAGCGATGGAAAGATATATGTAACCTTAGCAAGGGCTGGCAAACCTAAAAAAAGGATGCATTAAGAGACATAACAAAAGTAACTGAAACAAACGGGGAGATACAGCTTACCCGTGAATAGGATAACTCAATACTATAAAGATTCCAATATCCCCAGACCAGCTTGTAAGTGTAATGTAAGTCCAACCATCACCTCAAAAGAATTTTTTAACCCGACAAAATTATTCTAAAGTCCGTTTGCTCCACAGGTGAAAACAGCCAGAAGAATTTCGAAAAAGCACAGTAGGAGTGGGACCAGCCCTATCGTCACACCATCAGAGATGCCCGTAATTAAAATAGTGGCTCCTCCTCCACAGAACTGAGTGGGCAAACCACTGGGAAAAGGGCCAAATATAAGCATATATAGTATTTCTGAATTCAAAGGGAACGCTCTAAATCGGTGGCAGAAAACATGGCTATTCAGTCACTGGTTCTGGAAACACCGGCTAGGTATTTGGGGGTGGCCAGCGGGGTGGGGGCAGGCATGGGGGAAAGCTGAATCCCTTGCAACCAAATAAAGTCCTGACGACAAAATAAAGTTCCAGAGTGGTCACAGATGTAAAAACAAGAAAGGAAGACAAAAAAACATCTAAAAAGCCAAATATATTGTTTGAATCATCAAGTGGGTATGACGGTAAATTCAGAAGCTTTATTATAAAGCCACAGACTCATAAATTAACCAAACTACATGCAGACCAGTGGGGGCCATCGCAGCAGATTCGAGCCAGAGGGCGGAACAGTGACCCAGCTCTCAAATCTCGTCTCCCAGCATTCCTTGCTCCCTACACTGCCACTGCCACACACACACACACACACACACAAGCAACTAGTACAGAAAAACCTTGGTAAACATCTACAACAAAACTTAGTGTGTAATCCCCACACCCCCAAGATATACAAATAGGCAGAGAAAAACTACCAAAAAGAGCAATCGGGTATCAGGATCTGTGCAAGGCCACGCAGGAGGAAGTGACTGCATCTCACAGCCCCAAAACCCCCGCTCCACTCCCCACTCCACAATCAGCAGGAGCTCAGAGAAGGCGGTGGGGGCTGGACTAGTTTTCTCACCTGCGCACAGTGGGCGAGTGTGCGGGTTCCCACAGGAAGGCAGGAAGGGCCGACGCACGTCACGTACTCTCAGAACAGACCTGCCGATTCCCGCACCGAGGAGACATTTCAAGAACAGAATCCGAACTGAGTGGGACAAGAACATCCGTGATCGAGAAGAACAGGGCGCAGGCAAAGGGGAGCAGAACCAGATCTCCGAGAGGAAGCTGTCGTGTTTCTGTCCACTCCACCGAAACAGGAGAGAGGTCCAGAGAGTCAACACAGTGGGAAAAGCTGCCCTGACCCACCTGCCCCGACCCACCTGCCCCTCCTCCTAGAACAGGAAAGGTAATTTCCTGTAAACAGGGGCAACAGAAGATGATCTGGTTCAAACCCCACACACAGAAAAAGGCGCGTGAGAAGCAAATACACTCCCTCCAGACAGCAAAGGCACATCAGGAAGGTGTGCCCAAGAAACCAATGAAAACCATAATACCTCAAATTTAATTAAAGTATATCAAGAAAATGTGAATAATACAAACTGAAATTAGAAAAAATTAAAAATTGGGCATTAAAACTCAGAGAAAAACAATTTCAAAAAAGACTAAACTAAAAGATCATTCACAGTGAACAAACACAATAATGTTTTAAGATAAAAAGGGTAAAATGTTTAAAGATCAGTAATAGAGAAAAGAACCCAAGCAAAGCTGACAAATACAGAAGAGATACAGGGTCTGGCACAAATAATGCCCCCTTTTTTATTACAAAATCTTTTACTACAAAATCGTAAGCACGTAATTCTGTAACATAACACCACACCCAAGCATACCATATGACATTTTAGGTGAAATGTTCAGGTTAAAACTGTACATTGTTACACCCGCATTATCACCCTCCCAGCCCCACTCACGCAGACACTCCTGCTGGACGCTGTGTAACTAACAGCAGTCCCCAAAGGAGAGAACCTAAACAAAGGAACAGAACAAGTGCTAAAACTTCAATTTTCTTGAAAATGAAAATAAAAAGGTTTTATTATTTTATTTTTATTTTTTGTTTTTTTATTGTTGTTCAATTACAGTTATCCATATTTTCTCCCCAACCCTCCCCCCACCCCCTCCAAATCCACCTCCCTCCCTTGCTTCCAGAGAATACAAGATTTGATACTATATATTGAAAGAACACACCACGTTCTATCCCAGAACCACCAAAACCACAACCAAAACGCACCCCAGCAGCACCAGGAAAAAATTGGGGGGAAAATCCCGTGGGCTTCAAGCAAAAAGATTAAGGCATTTATGTGGGAAAGAAAATAAATATTTTAATCAGACTTTGACAGTCGTGCTTTATGACAAAAAGAACGTAAGATACTTTGAAAAAAAAAAAATGTGAGCCAAGAATTTCATCCAAACTGACTTTCAAATAAAAGGCGGAAGGTAAACTGTCACCTGCACACCAACTCAGGGGATGCTGTGCGCACATGCCCTTCCGGAAGATCCTGACAAATTAGCAAGTGTGGATTTAGTAAGTGTGGATTTATTTGAAGAGCTAAGACGATTAAAAGGGACAGACTCCAGCGTGTGATGACACTGTCCTCACAACGCAGGTGCAGCGCAACTACAAAAAGTGGCGGCACTGAACTGCACACTAAAAAATGGCTAAAATGGTGAGTTTCATATTACATATTTTGTGC